AAAATCCATTTTTTGATGTAATACAACTGCTTTTAAAGTTCCTAAAAAGTATAATTAAATTACATGTAAAAAAATTAATGTGTTTAAAAATTTTTAGAATTTTTTTGTCTACATGCACACACATTAAATTGACTTTATCGATATTTTGGCAATTATAGATATAACAATTTTGTAGATGTAACAAAATTAAAAATTTTTTAATATATACCATTTTGCGGACACTGACGAACATTCGCTATTGCCCATAATGGATTAGAAGTAAATGTACTGAGCTTAGGAATTAATTGCATTGACACATTAACATAATATGCCGTTGTAAGATTTTCCTTTATTTGAACAGATTGCCACATAGGCAAGCCATGTTTCGCAGCTAAACCTTTTATTGTTACATTTTTCAATATTATATCATTTGCAGAATCAAGTAATATTATATTTGCGTCGCATTCTGCGCAAAGGCCAATTAACATTTCTACACATATTGTTTGATTATATATTGTAAAAGTTGGACTCGTTAAAATTGCATCCTTAAATGTCGTATGCAGAAAGTCATCTAAAATATGTTTGTAAATAAAACTTTTGTTTAAAATTGTTCAGTTGTTGCTCTATTTAAAATAGTTTCATTAATAGAATTATATTTAGAAGTTGTACTTACATATATGAAATCGTATCTTTCCTAGTGATGTACTTCGGGATTTAGTCGTATTAAATATAGATCCAATGAATATACGATAGTAAAAAGTAGTAGAAAATAAAAAATTCATTGTTTCATTTTGTTTATTAATGTTTACATATTTCATATTGATGTCATCAGTGTTATAAAAGGATATACTTTGAGTTATAGGATTCCTTATAATTGTAATCGTATGCCAATTAGAATTGCGTTTGCCCTATATTAATTGTCAATTCATATTTTGTGTTTATTTTTGCATCTATTTAGATTTTCTTAAAATAAAATTAGAATTAAAATCAAATGAGAAATATTTTTATCGGCTCTCAATTTTAAGAATAAAATATGATATTAATGCGTGTAATTTCAAAATTAATAATAATTTTATTTTAAAAAAATGGTAATGATTTAATCGACCAATTCTGGCAAAAAAAATTTTATTAAATTTTACAACGTTTTTATTATAAATAAATAAAATTTTATTTTAAATAAAAGTATATTACTCTATAGCCAGTTGCGTGCTTGCATTTAGGAGATAAAGTTTGTAATAAGTCCTCGTTCTCGTAAGATTCTCCCTCGCAAGTTTCTATGATGTAAATATTGTCAACAAGATATTTATTTATTGTAAGCCGATGGCAATAATGCATGGAATCTTCTCCTCTATTACAAAATAATATCTGCATAAATTTATATCTTAAAAACGATAATACTATTGTAGAAGTATTTAAATCTATAGAATCATATTCATTTCTTTTAATTTCATATTCCTTAAAATCTGAAATTTAAATATATTATTTAAATATGAATATTATTATATGTGATAAATATCGTAATGTATTTTAAATATTGCAATTCTTTTTTAACTTGCGAAGCATCTACCTTCCCATCGTTCATCAAATACCGGACCCATAGGCGTTTCAAGAGAACTTGTGAAACTCCATTTCGGTTTACTCCATGACTTTAAGCACTCTTCATTTTTCCTATTCATTTTGCAATCTATTTCGTTATTAATGTATTTATTCGAATTGTAAATCTCTGAAATAATTGGATAATTAAATTGTCGTAAAATAATTGATTAATAATTTAATTGTACATATAATATTGTTGCTCACGACTCAATTTTGATATTAATCAAAGCAACGTCTCACGCATACTCACACTCGCAACAGAAAGTGATAATATATACATATATTCATATATTTAATTTTCTGCAATAAGCCTGATAAAAATAGTCAATAGAAAACATTGATTAACGAAAAAATAAAAATAAATTTTAAAAGGTTGTAAAGTTATGAAAAATGATAATGCGAATTTTAAAAAAAGATTTTAAAGCTTAAAATCTCTACATTACAAAGGTCATAGCTTTTTTCATTTTCTCCCATTCTGATACTTTTTACATATAGAAGCGACAAACATTACGAAATAAAAACTTTTCTACTTACTTTGTGGACGTGTCGCATGCAGAAGAAAATTTGAAAAATATATTCGCGTTAAAGCCTAAAGTTTTCCTTGTAAAATCGCATTTTTAAATTTAAATTTTGATCTTTTTTATCAAGTTATTCTAAGTTGAAGAGAAAATGTCATTCTCACTTTTGATAGCTCATAATTCCGTAAAAAAACAGCAATTTTAAGAATGGATTCTTAAAGCTGAATCTTTTCTCTTTAGTATGATATATCTATGATCTTTTAAAGTAGATCTTTCGAAAGTATCTATGATCTTTCAAAAGTAGGGATTTCAAGCTTGAAAATCTTTTTTTAAAATTTAAGTTATTCTTCGAAAACAAAATTACAACTATTTAAAATTTATTTTTTTTTGGAACAATTTTTTTATTCTCTAATTATTTAGAAGAGTGTATGTCTGTAAAAATTGTTCTAGCTCAAGTATTTTTTAGAAAAATTTTTATACATAAAATAATGTTTAAAAATAGATATACACATACAAAATCAAAATTTAAAAATATATTTTAATATATAAAAACATATACGCAGACTGATTTTGACATTAATAATTGAAGCGTACAACGTCCCACCAAAACTTTTACTTGCGACGAGAAATGACAACATATATTTTTAATAAAAGAAAATATGTAACCGATATAAGACAGAACAAGAAATATATCGATTGAATCAATCGTAAAGATGCTACCCAAGTAGAACAGAAAATCAAAATAATATTATTTTGACGTCATATTGATCAAATTTGGAATTCAAATTTGGTCAAGATGACATTATTTTGACTTTTCTGTTCTACTTGGGTAGTTGTCTCGCTATTTTGTATTTTCTCGCGTGTTTCTCTGATCACGTGATGCACATACAGTCCAAAACAGTTTATATAACACGCGTATATGTATATAGAAAAAACAAAAACAATATTTTTTGTCTCGAAAGACACATCACAACAGCTACATGACGTGTGTCAACTAAATACATGTCGATTATTATTTGTCCTTTATTAACGATCTTCCGCGAAGAGAAGGTTTAGGAGGTGAAATCCGAGAAAACGTAACAATATAATAAAGTGAAGACTTTATGAATAAATGTTCAATATAAAATTTAATAAGAATGTTCAATATAAAATTTAATAAGAGTTTTATTATATATCCCAGTAAGGAAGAATTGGTCGAATCGACGTCGATTTGACTACCATTTCTCGCTATGGGATATATTTTTATAATAATAAATGAAATCTTGTTAAAACTTCTATATTTTGCTTTATTGTGGAACTGTAAAAATGTTTATTTATATTTTTATAACTTACGTTTGCTGCTTTCTGTAATGGTATTGTAATTTAATGTGTTGATCCACACAAGGGCGCTGCCATCATCCTTCGAGACACATATTAATTTTCTATAATCAGTCGAATTTACCGGTCCACTCAATATGCTTATATTTCCAAAAACATACATAATTTGGTTCACAAACATGAGAAATATTATGTCCAGTATTACTGTTTTCATAATTAATAAATGTGAAATTCGTTTATAATTCCAATGATTATTAGAAATAAAACAAAATAATATAGTAAAATAAATATTCTAATTTGTTATTTATTTCTATCTTATTTTATCTAATTTGTTGTTTATTTTACGATATTGTATTGCCTTCCGCCAATAGATATCACAAGAACCATACAGTCCCACGTTTTGAATATAAACTGAACAGAAGAACACGAACGAGTAGAATCTGTTCTTTGAAAGAGCGACAGTTGCGCCGTACCACAATGCGCAACTCTCTGCCGACATCTTTAAGGGGATGCCGGAGAAATGTTTTTACTGACCGAATGCGAATATTGATTATTTTGGGATATCTTTTTATTAATTATACAGATCAATAAATCCTTTTCCACGATTAAAGTACTTATAAAGACGGACCGCGCTAGCCATAATTCCATATATAAACCATATAAAAATGAAAAATTACAGTTTTGTTATCGGCTTCTTTTGTGTCAGTTCGTAACAATACTTATTTAATTATAAAAAGTTCTGCAGTTTGTCCGTGCACATAAGATATACCTTGCGCAATATGAATAAAATGAAAAAATATTAATGAGCAATTAAAAAAGAGATTACAAATTTAATAAAAAAGTTATATTAATAAATTAATAAAAGTTATTTTAATAAATTTTTTAATTTAATTTCGAAAATTTTTCAAAGTTTTCGAGTTATAAGCGATTGAAAAAAATGGGTTTTTTGAAAACTAAACGTTTTGGAGTTAAAAGTCTAACGTAATTACATTCTTCAGTTAATTTCAGGTAGAGTTTACTATAATAAAATTTTAATTTGAGGCTTAGTTATAAAGATACATAATGACAAATATTGGAAAGTTGTTAAAAATGATGACTTTTTTCGACATTTTCGCTGAGGAAGAATCGTTCCCAATTGACCAAAGAATCCATTTGTAATCGTTGGTCCATTAGTTACCGGACACCCTGTATATACTCATATGTCATATGAGGACGCATTTTTCAATGTTTATGCAGCATTTTCAATTTTAAAATTTTGTCATTATGCAGGTAATCTGCTGAAATATATCTATCTGGGTGTCAAAATAAAATTAAAAAATATTTGAATGTATATTATATAGTGTATATTTTTTAATTAATTTATATGCGCGAATATATTTTTCATTCAAAATTTATATGGATAAAATGTGTAAACACACATACCTATGCATCAAATAATGATTTTAAACTTGACTAACAAAAAGGGGATATAAGCATGGACTTGAACCAAATTTGGCTTATTTACCGACATCAAAAGTGGATTGGGCCATGTAGTTCCTGGTGGCGCCTCTCATTCTTCTCTCTGATTTAATTATCTAGTTTAACCGATAGTTCATGGTTGTTTCATGTCATTTGGCGGTATTTTGTGAGATGATAAAGATGTTATTGGACTTTTGTGTACTTCGCTGTAAATTTCATACATTTTTATTTCTTTTTATCTTACAGCTGTCACGTCAGATTCGACGTCTGGAAGCTCCGCCAGAATGTCGAACAAAATGTCGCGAATATCGGAGAAAATCTCCAATGTTTTGAAGCTGGCCAACAGTTCGAGGTTGAGCGACAAAAAGGTATCACTGTGCATTAATAATTTTTGATAGTTAATAATTATTATAATTATTACTTTTTATAATAAACCGATATTTTATAAATTGCATTATTTTTTCCTCGTTTTATCGTAAAAATTCATTTTTCTCAAGATAAAAATAATTATAACCAACAATATGCCGGTTCCAATCTTTTTAAGTCTTCCAAACAGTAATAATTTATATTCATTTAAAATTTTTAAAATGCGAAGGAAATTATTATTTAAGACTTAATTTTCCAACTTTTTGTTATTTTGTGTTCCTACTCGGTTTGTCTTTGTTTGAAAAAGAAAATTACAATAAATTTTATAAAAGAGAATTATAAGAAACAATTTTGTATATTGAGATGCTTGTTTTCTTTCTTTTTTTTTAAATTTAGTTTTTTCAATTTTTAGAGATGTGTCACCGAATTATTGGATTTGTATCAGAATGATGAAGCTCGCAATGAAATACATGAAAATACAGAGAGGAAAGCTTCAGGGATTGTCAATTGGCCTTATATTTTACTCACAGCTCACAAACTAATTCTTGATGTAAGATGATTTGCACGATAGAAATTTTTGAAACATTTTTCTCTTATTATATATTATTTTATTAATCTTTTAAATGTTTGAATAACAAAAAGGAAGCGGAGAAGCCCAGTAAGGAAACAGCTTCCAAAAGCAAGGAGAGAGAGGCACTCAGTGGTTTAATGATCGATACATTTCGTCGATCTAATGAAAGATCCAATGAGCTTCTACATGGCAACGACATCGTCTCTATGATACTGCAGATATTAGATTCTAAGATTTATGCACACTATCAGGATAAATATCTAGCACTACTGGTCACATATGTATTGCCTAAGAGTGCCAATTATAATAACATTACTGCGGAACAATGGAGAGAATTGTTGATTGTCTGCAGCAAGCTGTACAAAAAGGCGCATCTCAAGAAGCACATTGTGTTGGATGCGCTACAAATGATTGTGGATCGTTCCTTTTTGCACACAAATCTAGTTTTTCACGTGAAGAATTTATTACCTTTCTTGGGTGTGTATTAAAATTTTGTTAAACTAAATTTGAGCAGGTTTTGAAAAAAAACGAGTTATCAGATTTTTTTACTTTGAAAGGACTCATGAAATATTATGGAGATTTTGAAATTGTTTTCCAAAATGTCTTGATAATTTTACTCTTATATTACAAGCAGTTCAATTCCCAGTAAATTAAATTTGATTAGGATTTTTAAATACATATTGAACTTGATTCCATCCCTAATTTTCCGTTTTTCTCTAGAGGATATCTTCCAAAATGTAAAGGCGAGCAACGACGAGCAGTTGACAGAGTCCTTCTACAGACTAAGCAGCAGTGTATGCAACCAGATCGCGACGGAATCGAGAATCGCTCTCTGCAAATTCAGCGAAAGTATATTGATGGACATCCTACGTCTGAACGGCTCCGAGGGAAAGTACAAGCTCTTGTTTACCTTCCTGCAGATGCATCATCCAGATGGTACCGGGTACGAAGAAGGCACATATACCTACAACAGGAGCAAGTGGAGGGATTTGTTGCGCAGTATGTGCCAGCTTGTTCAGGAGAACTGCAAGTTAGATGTGCAGTGGCGCAGTTTTATCGAGTTTGCCAGTGAAGGTGCTTCTTTTTTTTTGAAATCGTTAATCTAGAAATTATAGTTAAAATTTTATAGAATTTTTTAAAAACAGTATCTTGTGTTTAGAAACGTGTTATGTATTTCTTGCAGTCGTGCAGCAGGTAATGAACAATTCGGTTAGTCTCGCTTGCTCTGTTGACGCAAATTCTTCGGACGACATCCACCCTCAACCGGCCAAACGTAGGCGAACGATGAGCAGGATGGAGAACGTCGTTGATATGGTAACAGAGAGCAGTCCCGAGGAGGTGTGGCCCTTGCTGAGAATTCTTGAGGAAACGCTGAGGAAGTATCCACAGTGCTTGAAACCGCAGGATTTCGCGCCCTTGCTGCAACGTTTAACGGAACTCGCTCAGTCTCGAGACGAGCTCATCATGGACTATTTGTACAATCTCGCTCTCGTTCTCATGGAGAACGAAACGTCTAGCGGAAGAGAGGTGCAGGACACTGCGATTCACTGGAGCAAGATCTGGGACATGCTACTCAGGTCTATATAAATCGAAGTACTCAAGTACATAGGATTTTGGCTTTCGCTGGAATTGGCTGCTTTTTTCATATTTTATGTTGTCCCATAGAAAATTACTGAAACTAATCAGCAATTTTTGTTTTTTAATAATTGCATACATTAAAAAATGACAGCTGATTAGTTTCAGCAATTTCATATGGGATGTCCTGCTTACCGTGACTTCCCAAAAAAGAATAGCCAATTCCACCAAAAGAATTTTCAATTATTTAAATTATTTTTTGCAAAAGACTACCTTCTAAGATTCATTTCACCTGTAAAATTACATTAAAATTAACATTGCAGGTCTCTGGGAGCAAATCAGAATGAAAAGTCGGGTCACTCGTTGATCTGCTGTTTTATAACGCACAATAGGATGCCGAATGCAAACGCCCTCCTCAGGTTGTACCTGACGAAGGCGATTCGCTGGTCGCCGAACAGCGTGCACACCCTGCGACGATTATGCGAACGCGTCTCCCTACCTGAAGATGCTTTCACGTCAGTGTTGGATCCGTCTCCATCGGCAACAACCGCGCCGATCTGCGACCGGACGCGACTCCTGGAGTGGTTGCTGAACGCGTCGTGGGAGAAGCTGGTGACACGATTGTACGACGAGACTATGGAGAACGTCTGCACCCTATCGGTGGATCTCGTGCTGAGTTCTCGTTGCAGGCGGAAGCGCGAGGAATCGAGTGAGACCATCCTTCATCATTATCAGAATATCTGTTCGACGGATCTTTCGCGACTCTGTCGCGCGTCCTTGACCTTCCAGCTAGAGTTTTTGGCCAGGTCGAAGGATGACGAACGGGATCTCAGGCTGGTGGTCACGGACGGGAATCCCGTCTCCTATGTACAGGAGGCGCTGAACTTTCTGAAGCAACGCTTACGCGTCCTTCTTCAGGGTGAAGACTCCAACGATGAAGCGAAAAGAATTATCGACGTGCATGTCGTACTGATGAAGGTAGCGCTCCTAGCGAGATCGCTGTCCAATTTCAAGCAACTGGGGATTATTGCGAAGGAGGATACCGGTGACCCGTTGATCGACGTGATGGAAAAGAACCTGAAGAATAGCTTCGAAGTTCTAGCGAAGACCGACTGGAGCAGGTGCGAAAAACTTGATGGTTTCTTATACTTTTTAATTTTATTTATTTTTATTTTTATATATTTTTTAAAATTTATATTTTATTATTTTATTATTTTATTTTTAATTTTTAATTTTTTATTTTGTTTTTATATTTTATGTTATTTAAAAAAATTTTACTTTTTAAATATTTTAATGTTTTTTATATTTTATTTTTATATTTGATTACATTGTAATTAATCGTGCAAAAAGAATTAATAAGCTATTAACCTTGTTTTTATTGAAATTCTTATTGATGTTTTATGTAAATATTAATTACGTTTAAATCTTTATAGGTGCAATTATTTGTACTTGTCGAGCGTGACCAGGGCGTTGAACGTGCTCTACAGGACGACCTACGACGTGGACATTGCGAGGATAATCGTCTCCGCGTCTACCGTGAATATGTTGAAGAATATATTCGATCTCTTGAATCTCGATGGCAATCGTAACAGCGATCATCACCAGGAACACGACACTTTTCAGGTATATAAAGTTTTGTAGCGAAGAAATCAATCTGTATCTGTTTCTTGAAACACCATCAACTTCATCAGATTTTAATCTCTGACTCTTCTTTTTAAGAGGCGCAACCGATTCAGTTTGGAGGCGTCGAACTCTTCGTCTTCGACGAGTCTCCGGCGCGAGGACAAGATTCGTCTCGAGGTCGTCCAGGCCTTGGCGTCCTTCTGCGCGCTTTCCATCGACGCGAACCGAGGAAAATCGCCGCTACAGACAAAGATGATGCGTAACTTGCTCAACATGCAGCAGGACTTTACGAACTGTGTGGATTTTTGGATATCGCTGACGATCCTGGAATCGCTGGCCGCGCGGGATCGGGACGAGATTCATCAGGAATACACGCAGGCACCGTTGGACTTGCTCCTGGAGATGTGTCAGAAGTAGGGATAGAATCAAGTTTGATGTAATAATACCCAAGTAGCAAAGGGTAGTAAGAATACGTCATTTTGACGTCTAATGACGTCAGTTTGACATTTAATGATGTCAGTTTGCTACTTGGGAAAGATTTAGGTCTAGAAAAAGTCCAAGTAGCAAACTGACGTCATTAAACATCAAAATAACATTATTTTAACATTTAATTATGTCAGTTTGCTACTTGAATACTTAAAATTTGAAGCGAATTTTCTGGGAATTGAATAATATTCGTGAATATATACGTAAATAGAAAAAAAACAAAATTATTTTTTTTAATGAAAAATCTTTGAAAATTTTTTCTTTTTTATTTTGGATATTTATATATTTGTATTTTTATTACTGCAAATTGATTTTTTTTAACTCTGTAGATAGATTTTAATGAGAGATTATTCAGTCAAATGCATAACAAAATTGTTTATTGTGCATCTAATTAAAAATTACCTGAATCTAATTAGAAATTACCTGAATCATGTCGAATTTGATGCAATTTGCAAAAGTCTCATTAATCTATTAAAATTAAAATATATAAATAAATTAAATTACAAATTAATGAGAAAATTAAATGATATCAAATTAGAAAATTTAATTTTATTTTCTAATTTTATTTCCTAATTTGACGTATTAAAATTACTTTTGAAAAAAATTAAAAATTAAAAGCTAGTTTTTTAAATATTATGTTAACAAAAAATATAAAGAAAAATATATTTTAAAAAATAATAAAAAAATTTTGTCTTCAACTATTTTTAAGTAGTTATTTAAAATATCTATTAAAAAATTGTTTTTTTTACCTCTCTACTCATAAGATTATATTTTATATATTACATTTGCCAAAGTAATCAAACTTGGAACAGATATATTTCAATTTTTTAAATTAAATTAGCAAGAAAATAGAATATTTATAAGTATTGTTTATCATATAAGACACACATATACAAGGTAAAATTTCTCACAAGTACTCATAAAAGATTCGAACCTATCTCGTTCAGGTCTACTTGAAAATACTGATTTTTTTTCAAGTAATCAACCGAATCCACTTGTAAGATATTTAATTCCATCCGTTCCATCAGCCAGACGAATCACAAGAACGAGGAGTCGTCGCGCCGACTGTTGAACCTGCTGCCGTCGTTCTTCGAGTACGCGACCGAATACAAACATTCCCCGAGGACGATCATCGACACCCTGGTGCAGTTCCACAGACTTATGCGCAAGCGGAACTACAGCGTGCACGTGCACGTGGACTACACGAGATGCGTCTGCAACTGCGTGCGGATCGATCCAAGCTTCTCGTGGAACCACGACGGAGCCGACGACGACGTCGCGACATTGCTGGACAGCGTCCTCGACTACATCGGCGACGCGCTCTTCATGCTGCGTTCCCAGGCCGTGCGATGCCTGCAGCAACTCCTGGCCTTCAAGAACGTCGCTCACAAGTGGAAGGAGCGAATATACTTCAAGGTGGAGAAGACTGCCTTCAAGCTTCTCGATGAGACTCAACAGTCCAGTTCCAATCCGCAAAAGTATGGACATCTTCGTATTAACACAATTTAATATAATTTTATATTAATTTTTATGTAATTTTAATTATATAATACAATTTTAATTTAATTATATAGTATAATTTAATTACACAATATAATTTTTTTTAATGTATATAATATAATTTTAATTATGCAATATAATTTTAATTTTTAATTATATAATTTTAATTAATTAATTACTGAGCCTTAATCTGATATTTATGCGGAATAGCAACGATCTGGGGGAGAGTCAACGACAGGACGAGAAAGAAACCAGAACGGCCAGCGCGTTAACCGCGCTGGCCTCTGTTGCTTGCGCCAGCGGTGTTCTTCAGGGTCGCGCCTTGTACGCTATGCTGCGACTGACGATAGATAAGGAGGTGGACATGCAGACAGTGCGAAAGGTTCTCTCATCAGCGACGAAATACACGACGACACACGTCTCTCTCGTCGAGGATAACTTGAACTACCTACTGACATCTTGGATCGAAGACGCGCAGTATCCGTTACAGAGGTTTCCATGGATGCTTGCTGGTAAGGACATCGTCCTGCTAAGACTTTTTTCCTCTCTCTCTCAAATATGCTTGATAATAAGTTTGTATTATAATGGCATTGTGATCATTTCTTTGTTCATTACTTATTGATTTTATTATGAAATTGTAGTTGCATTCCTGATTGTACTATAGAAATTTTCAATATCTGTCACATTTGATAATGATACAATTAATCCAAGTAGCGAATTCACGTCATTAAATGTCATAATGACATCAGTTTGACATTTAATGACGTCAGTTTGCTATTTGAGAAAGATTTAGGTCTAGAAAAAGTCCAAGTAACAAACTGATGTCATTAAATGTCAAAATGACATAATTTTGACGTTTAATGGCGTCAGTTTACTTGGACTTTTTCTAGACCTAAATTTTTCTCAAGTATACTTGAGAAGACACAATTGTATCATTATTGACGTCATTAAACGTCAAAATGACATAATTTTGATGTTTAATGACGTCAAAATAACGTAAAAATTGATTTCCTAAGTAGAATGTACGTCATTTTGACGTCATTAAGGGCCGATTTTTCAACTTCTTGATAACTTTTCTCAAGGAGAACAGAAGGTCAAAATGATGTCAATATGACGTCATTTTGACACTATCGTGATTTTTTGTTCTCCTTGGGCCCTAAACGCCCCAAGCAGAGTGTACGTCATTTCGACGTCATTAAACGTGAAAATGTCGTATACTCTGGGAGATGAATTTTATTCAAACTCGATGAGATTGAAGACTTAAATCTATCATCATATTAACAGGCTGCGAGGCCATGGACGAATTCTTCAGAAAAAACGTCAGTCGCATAGTTCCGATCGTCCTGCGCACTTCGGGCCTCGCCGAAGCCATATCCTTCTGCACCGACTGCGCCGGTACAACCTTCGAGGAAGTCTTCGAGGATGTTTTTCCATCTTGCTTCGCGTGGCTGATATCCCGCGTGACGTCTAACGACGCTGACAGAGAGATGATGCGGAAGATGACGAAGAACACGGACAAGTTTGCGCGTACGCGCAATTTCAGCCAGCTGTTTCACTCACGACTTCAGGACGTCCTGATGGAGCTGATACAGAGGCTGCACGACGAGGACGACTTCGAGCGCGTCCTCTCGATCAAGGACGCGCGCTTCCCGGCGACGGATCCGCCGCACTTTTCACGAGCCACCCTGGACCTGTGCTTCGATCAGCTGGAGGCGTCCGGGTTTCTCGCGGCCTCGGGGAAGACGCTGACGCACACGTTGGTCGAATACCAACCGGCGACCCTGCAAAAGACCCTCTTGCGTCTCGCCGGTGCCGTACACTCGTCGCGTTTCCGCGAGGATAAGCTCAAGCGGCTCCATCAGTACGCCTATTTTTGCTTCCGGCTGACGCGCGACCTGGCGAAGCCAGTCTTCGACGAGATGGCCGCGTTCCTGATCCGAGACCTGTGCTACAGCCTGTTGCACATGACCAGAGGAAACGACGAGTCGCTCGCCATGGCGTGCTGCAAGTTCCTGGATTTATTCCTGAGAAGAGCTCTGCCCGCAAGGGCTGCAGAGGTGCGAGACATCCTCAGGTTCGTCGTGGCGGATCTGATAGGTCTGGCGCGGTCGAACACCAGCAGCGGAGTCGCCAAGGTTGCCGCGGGACTGCTCGACTTCCTAGTGGTGGAGCAAAGGGAAGTGCTGCGGGCAGCCATCGCGAAGCTCGGCTCGTTCCCGAGCCACGAGGTCTTCCGGGACGCGAGGGAGGCTCGCAATGCCGTCAGGTCGGAGAAGAACAAGATCGCGATATGCCTCGAGGACGAGCTGGAGCTCTTTCTGGACGCCACGAGCGAGGAGAACGCAGAGTGTACTCTGGAGGATCTGGCGAATCTTACGCGGCAGCTGTCGACGAGAAAACGAGAGCTGAGGGAGCTGCACCGGAAATTGGAGAGGCCATATCCCGAAGATGGCGTCAAAATCTTGCCCCGACTGATATTTAAGTAAGACGGTTCGCTCTTCGACTCTATTCTTCCTTCAACTCTAACATCCTCATTTTTCAGACTCGTCAAGCTAACAGAATCGTCCAATCCGCGCGTGTCGATGGAGGCCACCAGGTGTCTCGGAGAACTCGGCCCGACGGATTCCACCGTGATCCTGCGACCGGCGGAGAGTATCGTCCAAGAAGCTAATTGCACGATAGACATCCTGACTTATCGATCGGTAGCGATGTTGACGAATTTCCTGGTGGAGAACGCCGTGGAACTTCGCAAGGTATCTATGTAGCTTTTATATTGGAGTTCCAGAGTTTAGCCTAGGTTGTCATTGTAATTAGATTTGTATAAAACTGTGACGAAAATCAGATGCAAATGTTTTGTCAGTTTTTAATTTTAATTTCAATTTTTTAAATTTTATTTTGATTTATATTATAATTATTTATAATACATTTAATATTATATATATAATATTTATTACATATTATTTATGTATTATATATTTATTTTATTATTACTTTTATTAATATTTATTTTTAAATATATATAAAAATCTCAGGCAGCAAACATAGTTTGACATCTAATGACGTCATTTGACATTTAATGACATCACTTTGACGTCTAATGACGTCAGTTTGCTACTTGGGAAAGATTTAGGTTTAGAAAAGGCCCAAGTAGCAAACTAACGTCATTAAATGTTAAACTGACGTTATTAAATGTCAAACTGACGTCATTTTAAACGTCAAAATGACGTCAGTTTGCTACTTGAGATAGTATATAATAAATCATATGATATAAAATTAAATAATTATTGTATAATATAATGTAAAATATTTAATATATAGGATATAATAATAATAATGAAGTAATAATATAGAATGTAATATATAATTTTTAATAGCTGAAGCTAACAAATAAACTTTAATTCAAGGTTAGCGCTGACGCCCTTTACGCGGTGCTGTCGACTTCCTTCGGTCGTAAGCTGTCGGACGGCGACTACACTAGAGACTTGTCGAACATTCTGAAGGAGTCCGCGCCTCTGAAGATCGACTACATTCGGCCGTTCGCTCGCGAACGTAACGTGACACAGACGTCCTTTTCCGTGGATGCCGCAAGGTTTCGCACCGTTATGTGTCCGGAGAATCCTCTGTGGACCGTTCAGGAGAACGAGAATTACGCCGAGTGGGTCGTCAAGTTGACCTGCAGCATCGCCGAGTGCTTCGCGGACTCCTACCTGAAGAGCTTCCTGCCTGTTTGCCGGCTCAGCGTCAAATTCTGCGAGCTGATCCTGCCGAGGATCGTCTGCCTCGTCTGCCTCGTCAACCATCGAAGCAGCAACTCCATCGACGCCATGTGCGACTGCGTCGACCAGTTCTTCAGGTACTAGTAGATGTAAGCTGACCTCTATATAACCTTGAAATTGCTCAATCCAATTAATTTGCTCAACAGGCACCACTTCGCGATCAATCACGAGGCGGAAACGACGCCGAGAGGTGGCGGCTGCGACCAGAAGATCGTCCGCTGCATGCTGGACATAGTGAACCACGTCCGGGCGCAGCTGCCAGACGGCGTGACCTTGAGACTCGACTACGTCAACCTGGCCAGAGCCGCGCACAGATGTTCCGCCTATTACACGGCTCTGCTGTTCGCGCAGCTCGCCTGCCAGACCATCTCCTTGGACTATCCGGACTTTAGCAGCGACCCCAGGATCGATTACATCTACGAGTGCCAGCCGGCGGTCGGCCGGGTCCTGCAGGACATCATGCTGGACACCTATCAGAATATCAGCGACCCGGACGCCACGAGTGGCGCCGGATCGTCGCATTTGCTCGACCACGACTCCCGGGTGCAATACTACGCCCGTACCAACTGCTGGGACAAGGTCATGCTCGCGCAGGACATCGAGCTGTCGCATAGTAGCAATCCGTCCCTGGTGAACGCCAAGCAGGAGATGGCGAACGCGTTACATCGCTCGGGTCTTCAGTTTCTTCAGTCGCGGTTCCTCAACGACTGTCTGGATGAGAAGTTCAGGTGAAATTGCTCCTAAAAAGTGTATAAAAATTACTAGAGATTTATCTTGCAAATTTGTAACGAAAAGTATATGTATATGTAATAGTTATGAGAGCGCCTGGAGACTCGGCAACTGGGACTTGCTGGTGAACAACTCGGTCGCCGCTTCTGGCCAGGCGACATTCAACCGCAGCAGTCGCGACTGGAGGCCCTGGAAAACGCGTTTCACGCGCACCATTACGACGCGTTGAAGTGCCTCCACGAGAACGATCGACGAGGCACGGATCGGGCGATCGAACGCGCTCGTCTAAGCGTGATCGGCGGGCTGCGAGTGATCAGTCTGGAGAGCAGCCGGACCGTCAACGAGAAACTGTCGCAGCTGCGACTGCTGTGCGAGATCGAGCAGCTGAATTCAGCGGAGGAGAGACACCCAGAGGTGTTGCGACGCTGGAACGAGCACGAGATCAGCCTGACGGGTCAGTTCGACTACGTGGAGCCGATCCTGTGGCAGCGCATCACCATGTTTCGCATCAGGGAGTCTCTGTGGACGGACACGAGCATGCAAGAGGCCTTCTTCGCCACCTGCTTGGACCTGGCGGAGGTTGCCGTGAGTCAGGGTAATTTCCAAGTGTCCGCCCGAGCACTGGGCACCCTGGCGACGCAGCGAAATCTGTCTACGGACCTGGAGAACCAACGTCTCTATCAGGAGTCGCTCCTGCAGTGGATGATGCACGACCAGGTCATTGCGCGTCGTTTGATGCGCAACCTGATCGAGAAGAGGAATCCAAAGCCGAGCCTGAAGGCCAAAGCTCTGCGAGTCTACGGCGACTGGATGGCCGAGACCAAATCGGAGAATCCGCAGGCGGTGATACAGAAATACTATCTGGAATCCATCGCGACCAGCGAGACTATCGACGAGCAGACGCCCGATGTCATTAGAGATCTGTACGACACACAGGTAAAAAAAATAAGTGTATACAAAATTATTGGTATTACCAATGAAAGAATTGCAATTGGCGGTCAAGGTTATTTGAAGGTCAACTTAAGTTTTTTTTAATAGAGCCACCTTAATTTATTTTACATATATTTATATATTTAAGTGATATATCTTTTGTATGATTTTTGTTAGGTCGCGCTGGCGCGTTTCGCCGATGCTCAATATGAACAGATCAGCATGTACATAAACTCTCCGATCTACGAGTCGCTGAAGGAATACGCTCGCAGCAGCGACCAAATAGACCAGGCGCAGGTGAGGAATCAGGATATCAAGCGTGCGGTGATAATCAGTCAGAAGCAATCGACGAACGATGCGGCCGAGCTGAAGAACATCGAGCAGGAGAGACGGAACTATCTCGCGCAGGCTCTCAAGTATTACCTGAAGACTTTGTGCGGCAGCGAGGAACATAATCTGCTCATCTTCCGCCTGGTGGCGCTCTGGCTGGACAATATGCTAGACAACGAGGTGAACGGAGAGTTGCTGGACGAGCTGGACAACGTGCCGTCCTTTAAGTTCGTACCGCTGGTGCCGCAGCTGGCCGCCCACGTGAGCAACGATCTGAAACAGCGGAGCTTCTCCGCGCGGATCTTCAGGATTCTCGAGCGCTGCGCCCTGGAACATCCGTATCACACTCTGCCCGTGGTGCTGGCGCTGAAGAATCTACACAGCGACGACGAGTACGACGCGGGCTCCACGGTTGCGAAGAAGGAGGAACGTCGCGTGCTGGGCGCCAAGAAGCTTCTCAAGCGATTGGCCGAGTCATCCGTGCGCGATGTCGTCCAGGAGATGGAGAATCTGTCGCGGGCCCTGTTGAGTCTCGCTTATTGGCAACCCAAGGGCAAGTGCTACCATGGAAAATGCTATTCCATACCGCGAGATCAGTTGATATCCAAGGTATATTTCTTTGAGAAAAACCCAAGTAGCAAAATGACGTCATTTTTACATTTAATGACGTCATTTTGACGTTTAATGACGCCAGTTTGCTGTTTCATCGAGTAAGAATAAAAAATTCATCTCCCAAGACTGTAGTATAGAACCCAAGCATACATCATTTTCACGTCTAATGATGTCAAATTGATATTATTTTGGCATTTAATGATGTTATTTTGATGTTTAATGACGTCAATTTGCTATTTCATTGAATAAGAATAAAAAATTCATCTCTCAAGACTGTAGTATAGATAAGCAAGCATACGTCATTTTGACGTCATTAGACGTCATAATGATATCATTTTGGCATTTAATGACATCTAATGACGTCATTTTGACGTTTAATGACGTCAGTTTGCTATTTCATCGAATAAAAAATTCATCTCCCACGATTGTAGTATAGAACCTACCCAAGTAGAACAGAAAATCAAAATGATATTATTTTGATTTTCTGTTCTACTTGGGCAAGTAGCAAGTATCACGTCTAATGATATCAAAATGATGTTACTTTGGCATTCAATGACGTTATTTTGACGTTTAATGACGTCAGTTTGCTATTTTATCGATTAAGAATTAAAAAATGTATCTTCCAAGACTGTAGTATAGATAAGCAAGCATACGTCATTTTGACGTCATTAGACGTCATAATGATATTATTTTGGCATTTAATGACATCTAATGACGTCATTTTGACATTTAATGACATCAGTTTGCTACTAGAGAAATTTTCAGCGTCTGTCGATAATGATACAATTAAAGATTTAGCTCTAGAAAAAGCCCAATTATCAAACTATTAATAACGTCATTAAATGTCAAAATGACGTATGCTTGCTACCTGGGAACTCCTCATTCGCCAGAATAACCGATTTTTTAAAGTTTACTCGATCGAAATGATTGTCGTCCCCAGATCAAGAACTTGGACAACGTTCTTCTGCCGACCTTGAACTTGCCTGTGAAACCATCGGGCAATTATAACGACGTGGTTGGGGTGAAGGCGTACCAGGACACTTGCGAGTTCGTCGGCGGCATGACCGCGCCTAAGAAGATCATCTGCGTTGGCACCGATGGCGTCCAGCGCCGGCAGCTGGTCAAGGGTAAGGACGACCTGAGGCAGGACGCGGTGATGCAACAGGTGTTCACGGTGATGAACACCTTGTTGCGTACCTGCAAGGAGACGCAACGGCGGAATCTGCGGATCAGGACCTACAAGGTGGTGCCGCTGACGCAGAGGTCGGGCGTCCTGGAGTGGTGCGACAACACGGTACCCATCACGGCGACCCTGGTAGGCGGTCAGGGAGGCGCGACCGGGATACACAAGAGGTATTACCCGCGAGATCTGACCGCCGAATCGGCCAGGAACAAGATGAAGAACGTCGCGCAAGAGTCGAACGAGGTGAGGAACCTTAATTCAGGATTAAAATTATTTATATATTAATATTTAAATATTTTAATAAAATATTTCAAAATTATTAATAACTTAAATAATAATAATATATATGACATAATAATTTTACTACTATTATTTATAAATTAATTTTAAATATCATTAATTAATTTTTAATATTTTATTTAAATAAAAAATATTTAAAAATTATTATTAATTCACATAATAATAATATACATATAACTATGATATAATCATTTTCTTATTATTATTATTGTTAATATCTTTAGCTAAATTTTGTGTTTAATTATGAATAAAAATTCTTGAAATTTCTTAAATTTTAATTTTTTTCGGTGCTGATTTATCCAGACGAAGCTGAAGGTCTTCCTGGAGTGTTGCAAACGCATGCGGCCGGCGTTCCACCACTTCTTCGAGGAGAAGTACCGGTCCCCCGAGGCCTGGGTCGAAAGGACACTCACGTATACGCGCAGCGTCGCCACCACTTCCATGGCGGGCTATATCCTGGGCCTCGGAGACAGACATCTCAGTAATATCCTGATCGACGAGCGAACCGCCGAGGTGGTGCACATCGATTTCGGCGTGGCCTTCGAGCAGGGCAAGGTTCTACCTCTTCCGGAGACCATTCCCTTCAGGTACGGAGGGATCATCTTATATCTTTTATTGGTACCCTGTATAAGTAAAGAAGCAACGATAATGGTTGTTAAAAATATTCATAAGAGATGTTTTGAATTTAGCTAAAAATATTAACAATAATAATAATAATTGTTGTTGTTATTTAAATGATTAATAATTTAAATATTTTATTTCAATATTTAATTAACTCGCGTGAGTGATCTTTTTTTTTTAATTATTCCTCGCTCTGTCGTAGACTGACCAGGGACCTCGAGGTCGCCATGGGCGCTTCCGGCATCGAGGGGACCATGAGACGCAGCTGCGAGGTGACCATGACGATGCTGCGAGATCAAAGGCAAATCATCATCACTCTTCTGCAAGTCCTGTTGTACGATCCGCTCTTCACGTGGGCCATCACGCCGGAGAAGGCGTGCAAAATGCAAAGTGATGTCGTAAGAAGCTACTCGGAGAACAGCGGGCGAGGTAAAGAAAGTTGGACCAAGGAGGAAACAATCATACTGATCATCAAAAATAATCATCGAACTCTGAACCCCTCAACTGAGAGATTTTTTTGCAATTTTTTGCATGTCTTTTATTAATAATAATAATAATATTGTTATTAATTTAAATATTTAAATGATTAATAATTTAGATAATAATAATTATTATTAATAACAAAATTATAATTATTTATAATTATTATTATAATAATTATATTATAAATTATAATTCTTATTATAATAATATTATTATTATTATTGTTAATATTTTTAGCTAAATTCAAAACCTCTCGCTTATTAATATTTTTAACAACTATTATCGCGTTGCTTTTTAACTTATGCAGAGTGTCTCAGTTTAATTAGTATAATCGAATATAGTTTCCAATTAGCTAATTATTTTTTCCTAAAAATAATTGTTTTCTTTTTACATTCCTCGTGATTTTGTATATAAAAATATTCAAGTACGACTATCTAAAAATGAATACTATATGTAAAATTATGTCACAAGTAAGAAATATCTATTAAATTAATTTTTTGATCATCTATTCTCTTACGATATTTTATATCAAATATTTATATAGAAAAGATATAAAGTTTTTATTTAAAAAAAAAATAAATAAAATGACTTCAAAAAATTATCTTAATTAAAATTCAAGATTATCAATTTCTTTTTCTCGAAATCTTTTAACTTTTGACTTTGTATAAAATATTTACAGTCATAGTATTAATAATATTCGATTATATTAATTAAGATAGGACATCCTGTATAATAAATTTAGATAATCACATAAATTGTTTACTAAACAAAAGGTGTTTTGATTGTTCTAAGAACTAATTACGTATATAATTAATAGCAGAATACATTGCAATGTGTCTTCATTCATTATTAATTTTTATTCGCTTTTCAGCATCTGTGGAAACCAATAAGATCGCCAAGAGAGCTCTGTTGAGAATCGAACAAAAGTTACGAGGAACGGAGGACGGTTTAGTGTCCAGTGTTTCAGGACAGGTCGAGAGACTCCTACAGGAGGCGCGAGACCCTGCAAATTTGTGTCGAGTCTATTGTGGCTGGCAGCCATATTTGTAAATATTAATAAACCTAAGTCTTTCATAAAAGTTTTCTAAGATAAAGATAAGGTTTTTTTATACTTTGTACAACTTAATAATGTAACAAGTTCAAGTTATATTTTTACCCTATTAATATTTATTAAAATATTAAAAGTTAATTGAAGTTTTATTAAGGTTTTTAAACATGTTAATAAGTTTTAATAAGCATTTTTAATTTTCGAACCGAAGATTTCACAATTTGTGTCCTTAAAAAAAAATAAATAATTCTTATTTTATACTCTGAGAACAAAGTACAAAAGGTGTAACGAACAATTCTGATAATTTCTAATATTTCTAACAATTTGTTTTCTTTATTGATATTTTAATTAAAAAGTTCTTGATATTTTGCTCTCTTTGTATATGTTTTACATTAAATTAATTTTTAAAAAATGTATCTTTGGCAAAAAGATGTATCTTTTATTTTCTGGAAGACTTTTGTAGACTTTTATCATTAGTTATAATTAAAAACATATATTTAAAATATATTTGTTTTTATGAAATTGAAACTCTAGAATTGTATTAAAATAGTTAATAATAATACTTATCATATAAATAATTGTGATAAAATTCCACAAAAATCTCAGTTAATTAAAAAATATTTTTTTCTCGAATTTAGATATTTTTTGTGGAATTTTAAGTAATTGATTTAAAAACATCTTTTTTCTGTAATTGAAATTTATCTGTGGAATTTTATCAATAAGTGGTTATGATTTAAAAAAGATATTTAAAATATCTTTCTAGAATTGTGAAACTTTTTATAGAATTTTATCAATAATTAAACATATAAATTATTGTGAAAAATTCCATCAAAAAATCTCATTAAAAAAATTTTTTTCGAATTTAGATATTTTTTATGGAATTTTACTAATAGTTATGGTTTAAAAAAATATATCTAAAATGTTCTTCTGGAATTGAAACTCTATAAAATTTTATTAATATACTTAATCATATAAATATATATTATTGTGATAAAGTTCCACAAAAAACCTCACTAAAAAATTATATTTTTCGAATTTAGATATTTTTTGTGGAATTTTAAAATAGTTGATTTAAAAATAACATAAGGATCTTGAAAATTCATTCCGATATTTTCCACACTATATTAATATTTTCTCAACAAAATTCCAAGCGACGTTATTTTTTAATTACACACAGCGCATCTATTTTTACAAAACATTTTTCAAACAAAATAGAATCATAAATATTTCTCTGAAGTTCCTTAAAACATCTCTGTTCAACAAGAAGCGCATTAATTTCGCAGAGTGACATGTAAAAAAAAAAAAACGGAAGGGGCTGCACGCGAGTGTCGGGACTCGACCCGGATGAGACGGCAAAGTCCATTCGTTTCGCTTCCGAGGAAGAGAACCTCCGTCGCGTTCTATATACCGCGCGCGCGCTGACGTCACCGCGCGCGCATGCGCGCGCGCCCACACGCGTCCGTCATCGATTGCGCATGCGCGCACTCCGAGAGTCCCTCCGTCCCAGGTAGGCCGCGTCGCGATCGCCGCCGCGATTCTCTCGTTCCGCATCTCGCTTCCTCGGCCCGCGCCTCGAGAACGAGTCCGGGTGACGTCACCGGCCGCTCGACGTCGAGCTGTCAAAGAAAAATACAAAACGAGGTAAGCAGGCGGGCGGGTCCTGCCGCATCCTAAATCGAGGGAAAACTGTGCGGATCGAGTGCGCCAGCCACTTATCGGTCGCCATCTTGCTGCCAGCGAGAAAGAGAGAGAGAAAGAAAGAGTGAGAGAGAGAGGGGATCTCTTCATGCGACCGTCCCGTCGTCGCCTGGGCTTCGCTCCAAGAAGGATCCTAACCGGAAACAGCCTCCAGGGGCGGAGGAGGGGGTGAAGGGAAGGGGCTACTAGACTTTGGAGTGTTAAACACACACACACACACACATATACATATATATATACAAGGTTCTACCTTTCCTCTCCCGCGATGGCGATGGAAACCCCCAGGGAGCGAGAGATCGCCGCCGAGGACAGCATCAAGGTCGTCTGCAGGTTCCGGCCGCTGAACGACTCCGAGGAGAAGGCCGGCTCCAAGTTCATCGTCAAGTTCCCTCCGGAAGCGACGAGAACTGCATCTCCATCGGGGTACGCGCGTGCATGTGTGCGTGCGTGCGTGCGTGCGAGAGTGACAGCTCTCTGACGTGGACGTCAGCTGTCATTCGGCGAGTGACAGCTGACGTCCCACAGGATTCTCCTCCCACCTCCCGTTCCTCCCTGTTTATTGAATCAAGTACACGGATAGACGTAGTTTTCGTGTATGTATATGGGTGGATGGGTGGATTGTGTATAGGTGAGAATGATGAAATTTTGTGATTCATGGTTCACTCTTAAGGATGTTGCAAATTTAGTCTCTGCGATTTGTATTGGTTTTTCTTTATAACAGAGTTGTTGGGAATTTTTATCTGTTGCGATAGCTGTTCTGATATCAATTTTGTGTAGCGATGCAATTATTTGCGATAACTATAATTTTTTTGTAATAGCTAGAATTATTGAAAATTATTACTTGCAATAACTACAGCTCCGATATCAATTTTGTATAGCAATTTCATTATTTGGAAATTATTTGCGATAATTATAATTGATATAATTTTTTTATAACAAAGCTGGATTATTGAAAATTATTGTTTGCGGTAACAGTTGATGTTATTTGTTTATAATTTATAATAATTCAAATTATTAGAAATTTTTATTTGTAATAACTGCAACAAACGCAGTTTAATGTATATTTGTATATTAAAATACATTGAAGAATATTTCTTCAACGTTGAACGGTAATTTTATTTGGAATTGCATCAATTGTATTTGTCAATGTTTTACTTATTAGAAAATGTTGCATGCAAAAATAGTATTAATGAATCCAAAATATTCGAAATATTATATTAATCCACCACAAACGATATTTCACAATAATTTGAGAGACATTTATAAATGTCACTTAGTACAGAATATCTCTGCAGAATAAATTTGCCAGGAACTTGTGTTACTCTTTTGTCAAATGATAAATATTTTAAAGAAATATCATAAAATATTTAGATGAATAGATCAATGAAGTTTTAGTCTCTTGAATCCAGAACATTATTTTAAAAATTTTGTGAATATTGTTTAAATAATGTATATAATTATACACATAATCTTTCCTTCAAAATGTTTTACGATGTGTTTCTCATTATTGTAATAAATATGGGAAACACTAGCTAATAAATATGAGTAGTTTCGTTACACATTTAATATGAATAACATTTTGATGACAAGAGAGTCTTAAATATCTGATGTTCTCGAAAGGAAGAAATTTCTCAATCCTATTTTATATTTCAGGGCAAAGTATACCTCTTCGATAAAGTATTCAAACCGAATGCTACACAAGATAAAGTCTACAATGAGGCAGCAAAGTCCATTGTCACGGATGTTTTGGCAGGATATAATGGAACCATTTTCGCATATGGTCAAACATCGTCAGGTGATTAATCCTTCTCAACTATTTGAAACAGTTATTGAGAGAACTACAGGGTGCCCCATAGGAAATTGCTGAAATTAATCAGCTGTTATTTTTTAATGCATACAGTTACTGGGAAACAAAAATTGTGTTGGAAAGAGAAAAATTGCAGTGTTTAATAGATATAAATAAAATGTTTGTATACCAGTTTTTTTTATTGAAAAAACAGTAATGAAAAAAGTGCTAGTAATCACATGTGTAAACTAATGGTAAATATTTTCAAAGTGCGCACCATTTGAATTTTGTAAAAAATTCTGTTCTTTTACGAAAACTCGTAAAAACTTTTTCTAACATGTCATTTTTAATGTTATTGTGATGAGTCTTTTAATAGTTGCTATTAAATCTGGCACTGTTGAAAATATTTATCATTAATTTATGTGATTTTATGTAATTATTAGTACTTTTTTCATTAATTTTATCAATAAAATAAAACAGTATACAAACATTTTATTTATACCCACTAAAAACTGCAGACTTTTCTCTCCCACACAATTTTTGTTTTCTCAATAACTGCATGTATTAAAAAATGACAGCTGATTAGTTTCAGTAATTTCCTATGGGACACCCTGTAGATAATAAAATATATAATAAAATGTAAATATAAAATAGACAATAAAACACGCGTATATTTTTCACAGGTAAAACGCACACGATGGAAGGAGTCATCGGCGACCCCAATAAGCAGGGTATCATCCCCAGGATCGTCAATGACATCTTCAATCATATTTATGGCATGGAGGAAAACTTGGAATTTCACATTAAAGTATCGTATTTTGAGATCTACATGGACAAGATCAGGGATCTTCTCGATGGTAAGATTTCTATTCATTGATATTTTGGAATATTGTCATAGAATGACATCATTTCGACGTTCGATGACGTCAGTTTGCTACTCGGGCTTTTTATCATCGACCAATCGCAATATTTGCAATTAACACCTCTTCTCTCTGTTTCCAATGCGCAGTATCCAAGGTGAACTTGAGCGTACACGAAGACAAGAACCGGGTGCCGTTCGTGAAAGGTGCGACCGAACGGTTTGTTTCTAGTCCCGAGGAGGTGTTCGAGGTGATAGAAGAGGGCAAATCGAATCGACACATCGCCGTGACCAACATGAACGAGCACAGTTCGCGCTCCCATTCCGTTTTCCTCATCAACGTCAAACAGGAGAATCTGGAGAATCAAAAGAAGCTCTCTGGCAAGTTATATCTGGTCGATCTGGCCGGTTCGGAAAAGGTGAGGGTCGCGATTGATCCATTTCCACGCGTCTGCATTTCCGCCCGTTATTATATCATTGATTTATTGTATTATTTATTGTATTATTAGGTTTCCAAAACCGGTGCCGAAGGAACGGTGCTTGACGAGGCGAAGAACATCAACAAATCCCTATCTGCGCTGGGCAACGTAATCTCCGCCTTGGCTGACGGCAATAAGACTCACATTCCTTACCGCGACTCCAAGCTTACGAGAATCCTGCAGGAATCGTTGGGTGGTAACGCTAGGACCACGATAATCATCTGTTGTTCACCCGCTAGCTTCAACGAATCGGAAACAAAGTCAACCTTAGATTTCGGTAGACTTCTAGTTCTCTTTTCCTATCGTCCCACACCCTGTTCAACCGACCTTGAACCTTATTTCACATTCTTGCAATAGGTAAACGCGCCAAGACAATCAAGAACGTTGTATGCGTGAACGAGGAGTTGACGGCCGAGGAGTGGAAGCGTCGCTACGAGCGCGAGAAAGAGAAGGTGGCCAGATGGAAGGGCAAAGTGGACAAACTGGAGGCGGAACTGTCCCGTTGGCGACAGGGTGAGACCGTCAAACCCGAGGAACAGGTCAGCCTGGTCGAGGCACCAGATGTTACCACCCCAATCAACGTCACCGTCGAAGGTAAACAACGATCAATCGTGCGGTTAATCGTTATAAGAGATTGGACGATTAGTCCATTTTCATTTTTATCTGTACTCATTTTTTATCAATTTTCTCCAGTCAAACTGGACGATAGTCCGATGCCGGCCACTCCTGGCGGCGGCCTCATGATTGGTTCCCTCTCGAACGAGGAGAGGCAGAAGCTCGAGGAGGAACGCGAGAGGCTGTACCAGCAACTGGACGACAAAGACGAAGAGATCAATCAACAGTCGCAGTATGTCGAGAAGCTGAAGGAGCAGATGGATGAACAGGAGGAACTTATCGCCAGCGCGAGGCGAGATTACGAGCAGCTGCAGCAGGAGATGAACCGAATACAGCAGGAGAACGAGAGCGCCAAGGAGGAGGTGAAGGAGGTGCTGCAAGCACTGGAAGAGCTCGCCGTCAATTACGATCAAAAATCGCAAGAGGTATTTTGTGAAGAAGAAGAAGAGAGAGAGAGTGCTTTACTCCGAAGAAGCTCCTGGAATTTTGTTCGATCGCTATTCAATTCTTCTAGGTCGAGCTGAAGAACAAGGAACAGGAATCCATGACGGAGGAGCTGCTGGCTAAACAAGTAGCTCTAAACAACACCGCATCTGAACTGCAACAATTGCGCGATATGTCGGCCCATCAACGGAAACGCATCGCGGAAATGTTGGCGAACTTCTTGAAAGATTTGGGCGAAATCGGAGTCGCAATCGGCGGCGAATCCAATGAGAACCTAAAAGTAAGGACGTATTGAATCTCTAGATAAAATAGGATCGTTTTATGATACTGGAGACAAGGAGAATTAACCAGAAGAACGAGCCTAGTTTCTTATAGTTTTTTTGGATGCTGAATGTGAATCTAGTTTTCATCACGTCACAATTTTGAGAAATTTTTAATTAAATAAATAACAAAATTAACGACCCAACTGGCATAAAATATCTTTATTGTTACTAAGACATATTATTAAATCAAGACGACGTTTAATTATTGTTTTACCATCTGGTTGAAAGGTTGAGTTGACACATGGTATTATACTTATGTTTGTTATCTGTATTTCTAAATAGTTAAATTTAATTTTTATATCAGACTTGATAAGGACCCAAAACAAGGGTCGAAACGTCGCCTTGATTTAATAATATGTCTTAGTAACAATAAAGATATTTTTATGCCAGTTGGGTCGTTAAGTTTGTTTATTTATTTTATCATTCACTGGCGAGACAAAGATTTACTGATTATTTTTTAATTAAAGTTGCAAAAAGAGCTTTTTCCACGAACTTTGTTATATTATAGCTACAATATGTGACGTGCTAGAGAAGTTTATTGCAATCAAAATAAGATATATTGTTAGGATTTTCAATCCTCGAAAGGAACTTTTGATATCCTGCGTCAATTTTAAAATTTTGATGAAGAAAGTTAGCGGTGATTTAAGTCATTGAAGATTTATCAAATAAATTTTAATTGTTTATTAATTTTCAAAATTTTTTAGGTCACTGAATATGAATCCAGGGTCAAAATTGATAAATTTTAAAATGATGGACTCAAAATATGGCGGATTTATATGAAAAAAAGCATCTTTAAAATTTTGACATCCGCCATATTGAGTACCATTTTGAATTTGACAATTTTTACATTGAATTCGTATAATTGTAAGTTACAGCTAAATGTCTGCAACATAACTCATATTTATTAACCATAAACGACATCAAAAATTCTTTTTGAAGATTAAAAGTCCTGCCAACATACTTTATTTTGGTTGCAATAAAACTTCTTTAGCCCTCTTTTGCAATTTTAATTAAAAATTTCAAAATTATGACGCGACGGAGCAATTTGGAAACTGGATTTGTCTTCAGCATCCTAAAGACTATAAGAAATGATTAATCGGTGTTCGAAAAAAGTCATTCTTTGTTGAACAGTGTAACAGACTCAGAGAGTGAAATTAATACAAATATGATTTCGAATTCAAGATCGCTCCACCGGAGAGCAACGGCAAGCTCGAGGAGGAGTTCACGGTGGCGCGGCTGTTCATCAGCAAGATGAAGTCCGAGGTGAAGAACTTGGTGCAGCGATGTCAGGGACTGGAAAGCTTCCAAGTGGACTGCAACAAGAAGGTAAACTACCTCGCTTCGCATTACCGATCTTCTCTGCGTCGACTGGCTTCAAATATGATCTCACATTAAATATGTTTCCAAACAGGTGTCCGAGTACGAGAAGGACCTGGCCGAGAGCCGGCTGTTGATCTCGCAGCACGAGGCGCGTATGCAGACGTTGACGGAGTCGATGAAGGAGGCCGAGACGCGCAAACGGGCTCTGGAGGAGGACGTGGACGCCTTGCGCGAGGAATGCGCCAAGCTGAAGGCCGCCGAGCAGGTACAGGCGGTAACCAACAAGGAGAAGGCCGAGGAGAAGGAGGCGGCGACGAAGATGCGAGTTGCCCTGGAGGAACAGATGGATCAGCTGAGGGACGCGCATCAGAAACAGGTGGATGTCGACCTGCCACTTGTTTCGAAATTCAATTGTAATCCCTTCAGCTTGTCCAAACCCGCGTATTCACGATTCCGCTCTTATTCAAGGTTGCCGCGCTTCGGGACGAGTTGTCGGAGAAGCAGGAGCTGATCAGCGAGCTCAAGGACCTGAATCAGAAATTCACTCTGGCGCACCAGCAGATGCAGGCTGACTACGAGCGACTGAAGCAGGAAGAGGCTAACAAGTCCGTGAAGCTGCAGGAACTTGTGCTGTTGAACGAGCGCCGGGAGCAGGTACGTAGTTGAAGAAAAGAAAAAAAAATTTATGTCCTGCAGAAATGAACGAATTAATTTTTACGAATCTCCATCCGCAGGCGAGAAAAGATCTCAAGGGTTTGGAGGACACGGTAGCCAAAGAACTGCAGACCTTGCACAATCTGCGCAAGCTGTTCGTCCAAGATCTGCAGACTAGAATAAAGAAGACCATCTCCGCCGAGGACAACGAGGACGACGGCGGTTCCCTCGCGCAGAAACAGAAGATATCCTTCTTGGAGAACAACCTGGACCAACTTACGAAGGTACCGCCGCCGAACTGTTCATTCGCGGTGCTTTCTTTCTTTATCTCATCCCTTCGCGCTTTCGCAGGTGCACAAACAACTGGTCAGGGACAACGCCGACCTTCGCTGCGAGCTGCCTAAGCTGGAGAAGCGACTGCGAGCGACGATGGAGCGGATCAAGGCTCTGGAGACGGCGCTGCGCGACGCTAAAGAGGGCGCGATGCGGGATCGCAAGCGGTACCAGTACGAGGTCGACCGGATCAAAGAGGCGGTCAGGCAAAAGAATCTGGCGCGTCGCGGACCGAGCGCACAGATCGCGAAGCCGATTCGCGCCGGTCAGCACCACCTGAGCAATGTCAACGCCATCAGAACCGGCAATCGCGGTAAGGGCTGATCATTTTGCTCCTCTTCTCGCTAAGAGACTCGCGCTAGTTTAGAAAAGAAATCGTCTGCAATTTTTATTTCTCTCTGTCTTTCGCGCAACTTTTCGCGTTTATGCGGGGTGTCCCAAAAGGTCATTTCGGAATATGTAATTTCCACACAACTAATAGTTATATAAATATATAAAAAAGGTCATTTCTCAAGGTCATTTCGTCCCAAAAGGTCACTTTTCAAGGTCATTTCGGAATATGTAATTTCCAACTAATAGTTATATAAATACATAAAAAAGGTCATTTTCTCAAGGTCATTTCGTTCCAAAAGGTCATTTTTCAAGGTCATTTCGGAATATGTAATTTGCAACTAATAGTTATATAAATATGTAAAAATAATACATTTTCTACTTTACTCCTTTTTATCAAGTATGTAAAAACGTCACGTTTTAGAAAAAAATATTTTAAAGGTTTTTTTTGAAGAAAGAGTTGGCAATCTTGAATTTAAACTGTCATTTTCAAAAATCAAAAATATTTTAAAAGTTTTTTGAAGAGGAAGAAAGTTGGTAATCTTGAATTTAAACTAAGTTATTTTCAAAATATATAACTTGCAATTAGTTATGTATATATTTTTTCTAAAAAACAATTATATATTTTCCTTACCCTTACATTAATTGATTCCTCTCATATTATTTGATGCATAAAAATATTAATATAAAATTATCGAGAAATGTGAACATTTTACGAAATATTTTATAATTTATCTAAAATTATGTTAAATTTTAAAAAATCTTGCAAATTTTTTGGTCTTCCTACCCTTATAACTTTTTATAACAAATATTACCAGGAATCGATTTAAAAATAGAAATCTAATATAAATAATATAAAATAATAATACAATTAAAATAATGGTCTAAATAATATATATATAAATATTAAAAATTATTAAAATATTATAAAAAATTAAGGTTTGAAAAAAAATTAAGTTGACTTATAAATGATCTTGAAAAATCTTAATTAAAATTTAAGATTATCAACTATTTTTTCTTTAAAACCAACAACCTTTGTTTAAAATATTATTTTCTAAGACACGGTGTTTTTTTATATTATAATATTGAAACATATTTTTAAATATGGGACACCTTGTATATACAATCATCTTGTTTGTTTTTTCTTTTGGATTTGTTTAATTAAAATTTATTTTATCGCGCGAATTTATTCGGTTTTGCGTTGTAGACGTAATTTTATCCAAGAAACGGATAAAAATATAGCGATTTCGGTTCTTTTTTTAACTCACGTTATCGATCGTTTTTTTTCCTCTTGCATGCCTCGCGTATTACGATATTATTTGGAAACGTTCTCTCCGAATCGCGCGATATATTACATATATCATTTTCGTCTAATCGCGATTCTTAATTTTTCGCGAGATATGAAATTCCGAACTGTTGTTACTTTGGTGATATTTATTTGTGTTTCCTCTGTTTTTTTTCCATGTTCCTGATCACATACACACACACAGATATGGGTAACAGCGTACAGTGATGATGATGATCGTGATCGCATAATGCCAAAATACCCTTCTTCACTTTTACAGAAAACGAATGCAAGAACGCTTTCATCGACGAAAACAAAAGAATTCCAGCGGCTCTTATGTATAATGGATATGCATAAATGTTATAATAATTATTACTATTACTATATTTAACAAATAAGGGCAATAGTACTATATATTATCCGCAAGGAGAGCACCGCCAGTTCTTTTAATTTTCTTTCTTTTTTTTCCTTTTTTTCGAAGCAAGCATGTGCTTAGGTACATATGTATAAGATAAGAGTGCATTAAATTGTATGTATGAATGTGTGAGTGAGTACATGTGTATGTGTGTGTTTAATGCGAGCGCTGCATGTCCCGTCGATGTGTAAATAGGTAATTTTTATAAATTATTTAATTTAAAATGTCACATGCGCATGATGATGATGATGAAGATGATGATGTCGAATAAAGCAAGTGTCTCAATCGAATGAGCACGCGAGGAAGTCTCTCGTCACTCTCTGGGAATACTTTTTACTTCGATCGGTGTGCGTTTTCTATTTTGAATCGCTTGGAACTCACAATCAACCCGATGTCTCTCTCCCCCTCTCGAAAAAAATGAGAAAAAAAGAAAGGAACAAATTGAGAATCTTTAAGGAGGCAAAGGATACTTAAGACGCCTTTAATTCAGAATTAAGAAGACGATCGGACATGCGGCTTCGAGAGCGAGTGCAAAAGTGATTATAAGTCTGCTCTTTTCAGCTGAACTCCAGCTACTTCAGAGTTTAAACTACTTTATCCGTTTTACTTTACATTGGAACGAAAAAAATATATCCAAGTAGCAAACTTATGTTATTTTGACATCTAATGACGTTATTTCGACGTTTAATGACGTCATTTGACATCTAATGACGTCATTTGACCTCTAATGACGTCATTTTGATCTCTAATAACATTATTTGACCTCTAATGACGTCATTTTGACATCTAATGACATCATTTGACCTCTAATGACGTCATTTGACCTCTAATGACGTCATTTTGGCATCTAATGACATCATTTGACGTCTAATGGCGTAAGTTTGCTACCTGGATAAATTCTTGAACTAGTGCAGCAAGTTCAGTTAAAAAGAACAGACCTTATGGCTTACACACGAGTATTTTCGTAATTATAAGGAGTCTTTCTCCCTCTCCTTCTCTCTCTCTTTGCGCAAATAACCGATAAGAATGATAAGAGGCTCTTTTGCCGGAGAGCACGCTTGACCTTGAATATGTCAAGCGTAGACTTGCTTCTCCTGAGCATCCCCCTTTCAGAGCCTGTATGCGTGTGTTATCAGGTCTGTTCTTTTCAGCTGAACTGGCTGAACTAGTTCAGAGTTTGTCTCTTCTTTCCTTCCAACGTGGAGTAAAAAGGCCTGTTCAGCTGAACTAGTTCAGAGTTCAGCCTTTTTTTCCGATGTGGAGTATAAAATAAATTCTTATCTAGTGCAACCAGTTCAGCTGAAAAGAACAGCCCTAGTGATGGGATCGGATTAAGTGTCTTACAGATTCTTGATTTCTAGATTCTAGATTCGAACCTGTTTGTTTAACATGAAATTATGATTACTTAATCAATTTTTTTAAGTACATTTGAACCTGGATCAAGTATATTCTAATCTTTTACGAATTTTTAGAAAAATTGTGGGGGTTGATGAATAGGTGGATGCGTATCAAGTATAAATAGATTTTTGTTAGCTTATAAAATCCGAATACTGCTTGTAAAAAATTCGATTCCTTACCTAAATAACAAACTGCCGTCATTAAACGTCAAAATGACGTATGTTTGCTACCTAGGAAGATGCTTATAAGTACTATAATTCGAATGTAATTGTTCTAGGTTCGATTACAAGTATAAGATTATATAAAATCAAAGTAAGAAGGTTGAATGCCAGTAAAATTAAACCAATGGATAAATATTTAAACGACCAACTGGTTATTAGTGTTGATGTTAATTTACTTATTACTATAATTCGAATGTAATTGTTCTAGGTTCGATTACAAGTATAAGATTATATAAAATCAAAATAAGAAGGTTGAATGCCAGTAAAATTAAACCAATGGATAAATATTTAAACGACCAACTGGTTATTAGTGTTGATGTTAATTTACTTGTACAACTACGTTTCGACCCTAAATGGGGTCCTCTTCAGTCTAACCCAAACAAAAAATAATACAAAAATGTAGAGTGCAACATAAAATAAATGTAGTATGACAAAATTATACGGAAAATCATTAACAATAAAATTTTTGGTTCTAACATTTATGATCACTATCAGTTAATGTGAAGTCTTGTTGGGGTGTACATGTGAAGTGACGATCGAAATTTTATTTGTTGTTTGGTCGCTTCATGGTGGACATTGTCAACATTATGTTAACGAACAACTACCAGTTATCGCTTGGTGTACATTTACTAATCAATATCGACGTTTAACATCAGGTTACTTTTATTTATTAATTTTAAAATTTTATTGTTAATGATTTTCCGTATAATTTTGTCATACTACATTTATTTTATGTTGCACTCTACATTTTTGTATTATTTTTGTTTGGATTAGCCTGAACAGGACCCAATTTAGAGTCGAAACGTAACTGTACAAATAAATTAACATTAACACTAAACGCCAGTCGCGCGCGGTTATTTAAATATTTATTCATTGATTATATAAAATATTTCTTAATTTATAAAAAATATTAAAACTTAATAAATATACAAAATTAAATATTGAAACAGATCCCTTCAAATTAAACAATTGTATCAATGGCATAGGGATCTAAAACGCAGTTAGAATAGCGTGATCAAAAAATATTAATATTTAATAAAAGGAATTACTAGGCCAACTAAACGAGCTAAAATATAGGTGTTAAATAAAAAAATTTTTTTTCCTCTTTTTTTATTATTAATATCATTTGCATGTATAATTAAAAATATATATAACATTAATATTCATATAATATTAATATTATATATATATATATATATATATATATATATATATATATATATATATATATATATATATATATTGTTACGTCCCTGGTTTACATCTCCTGAGCACCTTCATGTCCTCAATAATTTTATCTACTTTCTTCCTTAAATGATGTAAACCAGGGACGTAACAATATATATAATTATTATATTAATATTAAATATTAATAAAAATCCAGGCAATTGCTAGTTTGGTCGACTTTTACCATTGAGGAAAGATTTTTATTAATTATTACTGGTAAACCTTAAGGATTATTGTCTGTTAAATATTAATATTTTAAAATATTTCTTTATTTTAATTCTAGAAAATGAAAACTTGATTGTCGGATTTTTGAGTACATAACTGAACTTGATCCCATTCCTAGTATGTGTATACTTTTATTAGAGCGAGAGAAATTTATGAGGTGCTTTTCGGAGGGTCAGGAAGAAGCTAAATCCAATCATTCGATTCATACCTTCGCAAATTTTGCAAAAAAAAAGAAGCGAATCTTTGCGAAACGCACAGAGCGGCGAGAAGGTCTTCCGAAGATTTTTCTGAAGGTTTTCTCGCTCTTCCTCATTTCCCGAACGTCCTAAACTAAGATTGATCTCCTTCTGTTGATCTTATATCCTTGGCTTGCGAGAGATGTTATTTTATTATTATTATTATTGCGTTTCCGAAGAACTGACGGTCGAATGACGTCATTAGACGTTAAATGACGTCAATTCAAAATTTCACGCTCACGCATCTCTTTTGTAATATAATTTGTATTTTTTAAACCTAATTTAATTCTATATCCTTCGCATATTACATGTAAAAAAATCTGATGACGTCACTCTGTAAATCTGTTTTACGAGATATTTCTAGATATTTCTCACACACGCGCTCGACAGTCGGTTATCATTGTCAATTTAATCGAGATAAGATATACATGGCCTCTTTTTCTCGCATACTTGTGCATTTTGCAATCTTCTTCAATTTTGCATTTATTATCATCCTTAAAAAGATCCTCCTTCATATATTCTCCGTATCGAGCGGGAACAATTTATTGTAAATGAAAATATGTAATTTTTTTAATTTTACACAAATGTTTTATATATAGGGTGTCCTATATTTTAATTAATATAATCGAATATCTCTGAATATCTATGGTTGTATAATGAAAAAACATTTTATACAAAAATTGAAAGGTTTGAAGGGAAAGAAAGGAGGGGAGTTGATAATGATCTTGAATTTCAAGGTCATGTGAAGGTCAACCTAGTCAAAAGTTACAAGGAGAGTCAAAAAGTGAATAATTTACGAGATGCTTTAATTTTACAAAATATCTTGTAAGATATCCATTTTTCAATACTTTAACCCCTTTTATGCACAAAATAATGAGAGATAAAATTGTTTAAAAATATGTATAAAATCTTTTAATTTTTGCATGAAACATTTTCTCATTACAGTCCTAATTTCAGCAATATCTGACTGTATTAATTAAAATGGGACACTCTGAATATTATATCGAATCGCATGCACGGGATATCCTTATTTATAATCATGATGAAAGTTATATATTTGTATGTGGGAAAATTTTATGGGGGATTTTATAAAATAAATAAATAAAATAGATAAATATATAAAAACTTAATGTAAGGAGGAAAAATTTATATATTTATTTATAAATAACATATTATTTTAAATATTATTAAATTTAATAAAATTTAAAATAATATATTATTTATAAAACAAATATATACACACACATTTTTTCTCTTTACATTAAAACTTTTCATATTTATCTATTTTATTTATTTATTTTATAAAATCTGTCAAGATTTTTGATTACATATATATATAAAAAATATACTTCCTGCCCCTTTTTCCTCCTGCCTTCCCCCTTTTATCTCTCCTTATAACTTTTGTGATATATAACTGTACCGAGAGCGAGGAGGAATTGCGTTTTTCTTTTTTGCTGTAATACGTAAGTAAGAGCGAGGAAAAATAAACGACAAAGTGTGCGATGACATTATTGCTGTGAGTGCAATTTATCCGTGAACTAAATATTTTTCTGTCGGATATGTATATGTAAATATTATACCATATATTATATATATAAATGTATATGTAAAACACACTTTTAGTTTCTCGCAATGGAACGAATATAATAAAAAAGAAGGGTAAGAGAGAATTTTCTCTTTTTCTCTCTCTCTCTCTCTCTTCTTTCTTTGGTGAAAAAGTGCATTTCTTCTTCGTGCACGATTGTATTTATCGCAGATATATAATAATACACTAATAATTAATTAATGTTAATCTCTCTCTCTCTCTCTCTCTCTGTCTCTTCTCTAATTGATTAATGTATTTTTCTCGATTTTTGTATTCAACCCTCGCCGATAAAATTAATACTAATCGCCGATTCTTCTATAATTGTGCTCGATTTTTTATGTATTCGTCTGAGAATTGAATGTGTGATTGATTTTTAATTATTATAGGTAACGTGAATGTATGATGATGATGATGATGATGATGACGACTTGATGACGAGCGCGGGAGAGAGACACGATGACACAAAAAGCTCTGTCATTAGCTATATATATATATTATTTTCCTAATTATCTTTGTAGGCGCTGAGTGTCTCGAAAAACACCGCACTTATTTATGCAGAAAATAAGTCATAAGCGAGCTGTAAAACGATATTTTATGTGCACGCATAATTCAGTCAGTCTCGTTGTTGAAGAGGAGGTCGATCTAACAACCTAGCTGTCTCGACGAATTTAAGAAACCAAAATATACAGGGCGTTCTCCATTTTAATTAATACAATTAAATATTGTTAATTAAACTATGATTGTAGGAGAGAAAATATTTGATGCAAAAGTTGAAAGGTTTCGAGAGGGAGAAAAAAATTGTATAATCTTGAATTTATAACTAAGATCATTTTCAAGGTCATTCGAAGGTCAAGCCAGTTTTATTAAAAATAAAATCAACTGTTTTCCTTCTCCAAACTTTTAACTTTTGTATGAAATATTTTCTCGTTACAGTCACAGTTTCTTTAGTAATATTCGACTGTATTAAATAAAATGGTAGATATTCTGTATAAAAATAAATCCGTATCATCGAGTTCAGATCTACCTCATCTGAAACAGAACGAGTAGGTAGCTAACGAGATTTAAAAAAAAATAAACGCATAGATGCAATTCTAAACATTTTTTCCTAGACTTTAGGTGGTAGTAGATTTGTATGCAGGGTGTAGATGAAGAGAGGCTGTAGCTACAAGGTACTATATATATATATAAATTGTAATACAATATTCTCCTCGAATTTAAAGATGTAATTTTAAGATATCATTATAATATTATTATTATTCGATTATCGAAAAACGAGAAAGCTTATATTGGAAAAAAGAACGAAGAAAAAGATCACATCAATAAACAATTGTATTCACCTTTATTTATTTATTGTCGCACAGTCGTACTCTGTCTCGGCGAATTTAATCTCCGAAAGAAATATATTTATAAGGTAACACACACAATAAAATATATTATACATACAAGTCTCATAATACGTGATGAGATCCTAAATTAATCATCCTACACGAATAAAATATTGAAAGTTAAACTTTTTCGAATAATTTTTTATACGAATATTATTTCGAATTTGTGCAAATACTTCTAATCTAAAAAATTCAAATAACTGTTCCAATTCGATTATTTGTGCAATATATGAAATATTATTTTTTACAAGCAAATATGTAAAAATGTATTTATAATAGAAAAATTTTTTTTTCAAAAAAGAATTTAATTATTTTTCCTGTTATTTTTGGTTAATATAATAAAAAATATATTATTATATTTTTAATTAATTTTACATATCTACTAAAAAATGCTGATGGATATTTTCTCCGCACAAATGAGGTTTTCCGACAACTACTTGTAAAAGAGTTACTGCTTTATTCTCGTCTCGATACAATTGTACAATATAGTACGTATCAAAACGTACAATAATCGGAATACAATAATAAGTAACATTATTACAACAAGTTTTTCCTAGTCCGTTGCCTAAGAACAGACAACCCAGGTAGCAAGCATTCGTTATTTGCGTTTAATGACGTCAGTTTGACGTTTAAGGGGATCCTAAACCTTGAAAAGTTTTTTCCTGTTTTATCGACAAAATGTGAGGAAAACGAAAAGAACTCATCGTGCACACATGAAAATGTAGGATAAGTTATGCTCGTTTACTAGGCTTCCAAATTGATATCTAAACATTTACTTATATTCTTTTATCCAATGCCAAATCCGGCCTGGTCTAATTTCAGGTAAAAAAACAATCCGTATAGTCAATAAATAGATGTATGGTTTATCTAGCCTCACATTTTGTCGATAAAACAGGAAAAAAACAACAGACTTCTCAAGGGCGTTTAGGATCACCTTAATGATGTCAGTTTGACGTTTAATGACGTCAGAGTGACATTTTAATTTAATGATGTCAGTTTAACGTTTAATGACGTAAGTTTGACGTTTAATGACGTCAGATTGACATTTTAATTTAATGATGTCAGTTTAACGTTTAATGACGTCAGTTTGACATTTAATCACGTCAGTTTGCTACTTGGGAATGTCTCACATATGTCTGTCGATAGAACATATTCATTTTTTTACATACTTAATTTTTCTTTTCGGCAGTGCGTACACGATCAATTTCATCGGATAAATAACAAGTACGTATATAAAAAAACAAAAAATCTTCAACGCGTAAATAAACATTATTTTTCCTTATATCTCTAAAGATCTAAATATACGTACTCCGAAAACGTAAAAATATACTCTCACTGAAGTCTGAATGGTCTGAATGTATTAATTACAACGCGCGAGAAAATTACTTGCACATCGCATCTCTTTTCTCAATTAATTTTTCATCATATCTTATTTATGACGAGAATATCGCGCCATATAAAATATATTTAAATTTACACACGTAATATATTCTTAATATATTACTATAATAAGTATAATATATTGCTATCTAATATATACATTTGATGCAAATTAAAAACAATTAATTCTTTTCCGAGGGAAGAAAGAATAAAATTGTATCTCGAAGAGGACGAGAAGATGAGCAAATATCTTTCCCGCGATATTTTTCTCAACTTTACTCGGATACTGTGTTTACACATTTGCAAGTGATCGAGTGAAGACTGAAGGCGGATATGTTCCAGCAGTATTCTACCTGTAGCGAGTACATCGGCAGTGTATGACGTTGTCAATGTAACAATAGACACGCAGAAAAAATTGCGTTCGTCCTCTAATTGGCAGTAGTAGTAATAATGGTATAATTATTTCACCTCGAGTACTCGCGCGATGGAGAAATAGACTTTATGTCATCTACCAGATTTAAGGCTCTTCGCCGATCGTGTTGGAATTATGACGTCAGAGGCGAGAAAACACGAGCTAAAAATTCTTAGGTGCCATTTCGAAATCAAAATCATCGAAATATCTTTTCATTGAAAAATTGTATCTAAGAATATTCAACCTGTGTTTTCTCTGACGTCACTATCTAACACAGCCGCGGCGAGGACCCAGGAGTTTTGAGAGACTGAATCTTTAGAATTACGAGGTGTCCCAAGTAGAACAGAAAATCAAATAATATCATTTTGATTTTCCGTTCTACTTGAGGTGTAAATAAAGTACCCAAGTAGAACAGAAAATCAAAATAATATCATTTTGACGTCATTGATCAAATTTGGAGTTCAAATCATTTAATATTTTTGATTTTCTGTTCTACTTGGATAATGAGATTTTTTCGAGATGAACTTTTATTTATAATTTAACTACAATTTAACTCTGTCTCCTTCAAAATGGTTCCCTTGGGAAGCCACACTGCGCCTGAGACATTGTTTCGATTACGGAGTTTTGGGCACGGAAAAACATTCCTGTCGTTCCCCAGCCCCTGCATTCGCCTGACCCGAGACCCTGTGACTTATTTCTCTTCCCGAGATTGAAAACTCATCTCAAAGGACATCCTTTGCCACGACCTAAAAGCGGCTGTAACCGACTAGCTGAAGGCCATTCGGGTTTCTGAGTTCCAGCACTGTATGAAGACTGGAAACAATGTCTCAGGCGCAGTGTGGCTTCCCAAGGGAACCATTTTGAAGGAGACAGAGTTAAATTGTAGTTAAATTATAATAAAAGTTCATCTCAAAAAAGTCTCATTACTTTATTTACACGCCTCGTATTTATAGAATCTTCTTTTTACCTTTCATCTTCTCTGCCTTCTTTTTTTACCCCAGATAGCAAGCGTACGTCATTGAACGTCAAAATGATGTCATTTGATGATATTCATGGCGTCAATTTACTCCTTTCCACGGAGAACAGAAGGTCAAAATGATGTCAATTTTACGTTATATTGACTAAATAATATTGACCAAATTTAGTCAATATGACGTCAAAATGACATCATTTTGACACTATCGTGACTTTTTGTTCTCCTTGGGTTCCCAAGTAGAACAGAAAATCAAAATGATATTATTTTGACGTCATTGATCAAATTTGGAGTTCAATTTTAAATAACTAATTATATTTATAAATAAAAAAATTTGAAAGATTTTTTCATATATATATATATACATAATATATATATATATATATATATATATATATATATATATATATATATATATATATATATATATATATATATATATATATAGTAATATAATTAATTATTAATTGTTCATATATATTAGTAATATAATTTGAACTCCAAATTATATTACTATATATTAGAGTTCAAATTTGATCAATGATGTCAAAATGATATTATTTTGATTTTCTGTTCTACTTGGGAAACCGCGAAAAGAAGAAGGCTCGAAACGAAGAGGCATGAAAAACGTCTCTCAAATCAGATTGAGTAAAATGACGTCAGTTTGCTACTTGGGACGGTGCAAATCGTAAGAGAAGGCTGGAAACAAGAAAAAATGAAAAAGAAGACGTCAGCGAGTATTCGAGGATCAATCAGTTTAGCGATCACATTAATAGCTACAGCAATCGTAAAATTACGGTGAACACACAACAACCCGGCCGATCGTCCCCTGCGACTCATTAACGCAATAAGGTAGCGCATAGCACTATCATGTTCAAAATTAGGGAGCCGCAGAGGAGCGCGGAGAGCCAGCCGGAGCTCGCGACGATGGTCGTCGTGGTGTGATGACCTTGAAAGGTCGGCGTCAACTCGCTCCGACTGCCGGGGTTCATCTCCTGCTCCTCTCCTGTCATTCGCGATGGCGACGACGCGTGATTCCCACGTGGCGCGTGATAGGACCACCGCGTGGCGTCCGACACGACCGAGCAGCGGTCGAGCTCGTGCACCGATGGCTCACGGGAAGGTGCGAAGTTCGAGGAGCCGGCCGAGCCGAAGCCGGAGCTCTGGCTGGACGATCGCGAGAGAGTCGGCGGAGTCGAGGTCATCGCGTGACCCTCCTGCCAGTAGCCACCGGCCACCCACGAGGTCTGCGTCACCGACCTGAGCTTCGGCGGCGACAGCACGTACCTCCTGGTGGAGCTGGACCTTCTGAACAAGTTCTCGGAGTTCGTCGCGCTGTATACTTTCCGCTCGAAGATCGCCGGCGCCACTCTCGCGGTGCTTTTGCCGTATCTTGGCGAATCCTCGTTTAGGAAGAGGGTGCTCAGACTGTGGTTCAACCCACAGCCGTCCGGTGAGTTGTTCTGAGAGACGAAGTTGAGATGATTGTCATTATCTCTGGTGATCGTAGATAATTTCTGTCTCAACCTGAAGATGAATAAAAAATACATTAATGATAATACAAATTTGGTATGAAATAATTAATTTGAAGATTGCGCAGGGTAATAAATACAATGATATGTAAAATAAAAGGAATGGAAAATACTTGCATTGCTGAATGTGATTTGACTTCGGTGAAAGGTACTTCGCCTGTTGCAAAAATTGATGACGGTTCAACGTTGAGGATCCCATTGGAAATGTTATTTTTGCTTTCACTGTCATTCCGTAACAGAGGTGTCGCAACAGGCTGCGAACGCGGCTTGATCTTCTTAAACGCAACAGAGTTGATTGTATTTTTATACGAAGTAGGTTTCATGCTGAGGAAACCCATAATAACCGCGCACATCGTTATCTGAAAAAGAGAATAGGCAATAAATATAAAAATTATATTTAAAAAATATTAAATTATATTTTTAAATAAGTTTCAATAGGTATTCTACAGTATTTTAGCTCACCATGCGGTATTGTACGATGTGCTCTGCAGTAAACCAGACATTTTGCAAAGTAAAATCCTTGACAGACACCAAAATGATCGTAAAGAGCCATAGAAGCATCAACAATACGTCGGTTCTCTTCCTCTTCCTCAAACTCGTCCAGCAAGCGCATAGGTGAAAGAACAATCCGGCGATTGGCAACCATACCAAGTCCTGGTTGCATCCGATAGCCAGAATCAGGAGCTTCGAGATGACTCGAAAAACTGCTTCGGATCTTCTGGCATTCTGCAAAAGAGCCGACTAACAGTTATTCATTGCAACAATTGAATATTATATTTAAATCTTTAACAATCTTGTTACATTCGATACATATTCTTCAAACATGTACACTTACGCTAATGAGCAGCCTGATCGGTCTCTGCCTGAAGAATGACATCTTGTAGCGAGTGAGCCACAGTGCCTGCTTGCTCAATACGTTCTGCACCGTCAGTTTGCAATTTTCGCACAGCGAATATCTCTTCTCCAAGTAGTCCTTGAAGTTTTTCAGCTCAGCGTTGTAACGTCTCTCGCTCTTCGGCTCGAAGTTGGATAGTTCCAACAATTTCAGACTTTCTCGCTTGTTGCAATCCGCACAAAGATGACCCTTGGAGATGGCATTGCGCGAATCCCTCTGCTCCAATCTGCAGTATCTCGGAGACACTTTAGAGGCTGCATACTGTTCCGGGATGTCATATGTGTAATCACCATTCTGAAAAGTCAGTATTTTGCATATTGATGTTCTATGGAATAACAAAATTCCCCATTATACAATTATATGAAAGCAGAACAGATTTCTCTTCAACTTTTTACCTTGGAGAAGCCATTGTATTGCTCGCACCAAGGACACAACAACCAGTTTAAATGCTGCCGCCAGACCTTTGAGCTCTCGTTGCAGAACCAACAGTTCACCATCACAGGCCATCTTACTCTACAAGATACGATCAAAATATCAGTGTCATACATACATATATATATATATATATATGTATGTATAAATAAAAAAATAATTATATATACAAAGTGTGTCATAAATGTGCACCGTTCAATCATATAAATAAACAAAATAAAATAAATAAAAAAAAATAAATTCATATAAATATATTATATATACAGGGTGTGTCATAAATGTGCATTCATTCATATAAACAAAATAAAATAAATTCATATAAATATATTATATATACAGGGTGTGTCATAAATGTGCATGATTCATTCATATAAATAAACCAAATAAAATAAATAAAAAAAAAAATAAATTCATATAAATAAAATAGTACACACACAGACAAAGTATGTATGAGAAGAGACTCACTTTAGCCTGTGGAAGATTGTGAGACACATAACGAGAATTAAAAGCGCCGGGGCGAACGCGGACACGCGGTCGAACGACAGATTCGGATCAGCTGATGCCATCGCGTAGAATAATAAAGAATGCGTTAAAACGTCAACGAGTGCGCGCGACGACGTTGCTCCAAAATAAGTCCAGAGGGTGTATCGCCGCATTAACTATACGCCGCGTCTCCCGCCAAGAGTACCGTGGAGGGCGAGGACGGCATAACCTGGAAGAGACCAAGAGGATTTCTCCTCAGCATCGCAAGCGTAAAAGGAACTCGAATCGCAAGCGTCCTCGTCGACGCAAATCTCACCGATTGCGGAGCCTTCTGTCGACGACGAATTATAACATCTCCAGGGAGATCCTATCCTCGTCACGCTGCCTTCGAGCAGCACGTGCCGACTAGGGATGGGCGATGTTCTTCGTTAATCGGAGATGTCGATTTTTTAATCCAAATAACGATTATATTTTCGATCGATTTTTTTGTCGGTCGATTAATCGATTTTCGATTTTTATGAGGCAATATCGAAATAATTATACCTATCTTTCCTACATGAGTGCGTTCGAAAATTGATTTTGTTGGGTTGGGAAAAAAGATAAAGTTGGTAGTATTGAAAATTAATTGGGAGAGAACAAAACGCAGCACTGGTAATTTTCAATACTGCCAACTTTATCTTTTTTCCAACACCAACATTCCAACATAACATAACATTTCTTAACATCTTAATCTTGCTGCACGAAGAAACAAAAAAATGCGTCATGTGTCGTGTGTGACGGGAGATATATTTCGATTTTGTCTCAAAAATTGAAAATTGCTGAACTTTTTTCGTATTTAATGCGAGTCAGCGATGGATGTCATAAACGGTAAGTACTAACTATTAAATTTATATTTTTCGATTAAGTATATCACATAACCTCCAACATCTATAATCTATAATTTTGTTTGATTTCCGATTGATGATAACGTGATGATAATTTCTTTAATTGTATACATATTTCGTATTTATTTAAGGGAAAGACATATCTCCGGGAGGGGGATCAATGTGTATTAGATTTTATTTTATTCTATCATATACCCTATATGTATTCTTTTAATTTTAGATAACGATAAGGCATTCGAAGAAGAAGCATTTCACAATCTTATGGAAGTGAAATCGAATCAGTAATGACGACGAAGAAATCGATACACAAAACTGTTTCAATCTATTGATGATCTGGATGGTGAGTGTAAAAATTGTTGACGATTTATGGCCTTGTTCAATTTATTTAATTTAATATCTGCTTTTTTATAGTACATTGATCGAGAATACAGAAGATGATTCTCGAGATTCTCAAGTAGTACTAGTGATAGCCCAAGAGCTCCAAGAGGAGATCACGCCAACTGAAGCCTCATCAAAAGGTTCAGGCGTAACAAAGATTATCACGCCAACTGAAGCTTCACCAAAAAGTTTAGGCGTAACAAAGATTAAATCTGAGTAAGTTGTTTTTAGTATTCTTTGCAAATTTTTACCTTTTTAGGGGTCATTCTGAAAGATTGTCTTAATCTTAACTATTATTAATATTTAATAGGTCAAAACAACCAAGTGCAGCGTGGCAATATTTTGAAAAAAGAAAAACTAATGTTACAGCCCGTGTAACATTTGCATAAGGTGTATAAACATGGCGGGGAACACAAACAAACTTGTTCAGCACCTTAGTGCAAGCCATGCAATTGTTTTGCCCCCAAGCTAATAGACTGAAGCGAAAAGTTCATGTGACTTCTGGATCTAGTGACGATTCTACTGATGATCCTCCACAGTCGAAACGAGGAAAATTCAAATCACAGGTAAAAAAAATATGTAAATAACAGTAAAACATAAAATAAATATAATATATAAATGACAAGTATATAAAGTAATAAAAAGTATATAAATAACAAGTAAAAATAAAAAAGTATAATAACAAGTAAATAAACAATTATAGTAAATAGAAAAATGACTGATTCATAAATTTAATAAAACAACAAATACTTTGATTACAGGGAAAGTTTATTAGAATCGACGAAAGCATTTGAGCGTACGAAATCATTTTTAGGTATGTATGCCATAAAAAAATCTTTATTTAATTTTTGATTATTTGACAAAGACTTGTGATTTATTTTAACAGAAGGAGGCAAGACGTCTGACAAAATTACAAATGCCATTTTGTATATGATCGCGGTCGATAAAATGCCATTATCTACAGTGCACAACGAAGGCTTGAAATTACTCATGAAAACAGTAGCACCTCTCTACACTGTGCCGAGCAGGAAAAACCATGACAAGATTGATAGACGTCCGATATGATGTATTGAAAGAGCGCTTTATAGCCACTCTCAAAAAACTTGATTCTTATGCATAACATGTGACAATTGGACAGATGTCGGCAACCAAAGTTCTAGGCGTCACTATCCACTATGTAACTCACAAATCGAAATGAAGAGTGGATGCGTTGGAGTTTCCGATGAGTGAAAACCACACATCACAGTACCTCGGAGAGTGTTTAACTTCGTTATAAAGGACTTCAATTTGAAGCAATCGAGAATTACGGCAGTCGTACGGATAGTGCGGCCAACATCAAAAAGCTGTACGCGACTTCGTGGGACAGGACAAACATGCTTTGGCTGCTTTGCATATCTCTATCTCATCTCGTACCAGACGTACTAGTCGCTTGCCCACTGTGCGGGAAACGATTGCAAAGTGAGGGCTATCGTAACAATTACAAGAAGAAAGCGTCGTGGCTTGCGATGAATTAAAGAAGCTGCAAATACGAGACGGAAAAAACGGAAGGAACCACGTTTAAAATTTATTCAAGATGTTCCTACACGTTGGAACTCGACGCTCTACATGCTAGAAAGATTCTTACTCTCGAGGAATACTGTTTATCCGGTTATGTCGAAGTGTCCGACTGCACCAGATGTTAAAACGAGAGAAGAAATGCAAATGTTGAAAGATGTTATATCCCTCATGAAACCAGTCGTCGAACGTGTCATCACTGAAGTCAGTGGAGACTCCTATCCAACATGTAGCGTTATTATCCCGTTAGTTCGCTGCCTGAAAGTGGCTGTTCGAGAATATAAGCCTTCAACAAAATATGGACACGAGTTTAAAGAAAAAATTGAAGCAACGATTAATAGACGATTTAAAGATTTGAGTTGCATAAAATACTAGCCATTCAAATATACTGGATCCGAGATTCAAAAAACTCACTTTGAAAGCGCTCTGGCTGATCTTCTGCAATATCGCGAATTAATGATTACATTAAAAGGGATACTGTACAAAAAATGTATGAAAAAGTACCCCATTGAAACGACAGCAAATAACGATCTCTGGAGTTTCATGACCACTGGTTGCGACTAAAGCTGACTACGGTGCTCACAGCGAAGACGTTAGTTTGAAATAAGACAATATTTCAGCCAACCAGTCATCCCGCGCTATGAAAAATCCTCTCAAGTATTGGTCATCAATGAAACTCGCATTTCCGTCATTGTACAAATTGGCACTAAAATACGTCAGTATTATTGGCACGTCGGTGCCATCCGAACGGCTGTTTGTTTCTCAAGCTGGCGACATCAAAACCGACAATCGAAACAGACTATCCGGTGAGCACTTAAACAAACTGTTGTTTCTCGGTTCGCTTGCACGAAAGATTGGGGTTTTAGAGTGACAACAAAACTGTTATACTCCTGCAACTGTATTACTGTATTCCTCTTTTGTGACTGTTTGTTTTTTTACTAGATAAGGCATGATATTTTTTAAAGTAAACGGGTGACAGTTCCTATTTTCTATAACATTTCCTATTTCTGTCATTTAATTTTCAGTTTTTTATTCGAAAGTTTATTCCAATGTAAAATAACTGTTAAGTATATAATGTGTTGTAACTTAATGCAATTGAGTGTTTTGCTATTCTTGTGACCTTTATTCATTTATTTAAAACAAATGAGTTAAATGAATTATATGTATATATATATATAAACTTTTAGGTAGAAGAACTTTGGGCACAAGGCCACACTGGAATGTATTAATAAAAAACAAAAAATAACAAGATATTATAAAATTCAATAAAAAAATAATAACCTAATTATCAATATTTTTTATCGATTAATCGATTTGTCGATTTTTTCAAATAGAAAAATCGATTTTCAAAATCGATTCTTTTTCAAAAATCGATGTTATTAAAATCGATTTTATTTTGAATATCGCCATCCCTAGTGGCGACCGTTGCCCCCGCGTCGTCGTCGCGTTCCGAAAAATGAGCGATTGGAGCCTCCTATAGGAATAAATGAGGTATAGATAAGCCTCTAGTTTCTCCACCAATAAAAACGCGGAAACGAAAATATGTCCACCAATAAGAACAGAAGATCCATTGTATAATTTTTAAGTAAAAACGTGAAAAGTGAAAAATTTCCGCTAATCACGCATTGATTTTAAAATGTAATTGAGGTGCAATTGAAAGAAATTTTTCACTTTTCACATTTTCACTTTAAAAAAAGTTACACAATCGACCCTCAGGGAATGGAAATATATCCATCAAGAAAGAAAAAATAGAATTATATAAGAAAAATATAATATATATATAATATAAATATATATTATATATAAAAAATATATAAGAATATATAATAACAAAATTAATATAATAATATATAGAAATATATCTAATAAAAATGTAAAATAGTATAGTAGAATTATATAAGAAAAAAAAAATATATATATATAATATAAATATATATTATATATAAAAATATATAAGATAATATAATAACAAAATTAATAAGATATAGAAATATATCTAATAGAAATGTAAAATAGTATTTATTAATAATGTTACTATTTTTAATAGTATTTCTAGGTCTAGGTAATAGTACATATAGTTGTTTATAATTGACCAATCAGGAAGTCGATTATGTATCACACAACTAAATAAAAATAACAAAAATTAGTAAATTTACTAAAACTTTATAATTTTTCGCTCCCAATCTAGTGAAAAATATAGAGAGGCACAAATTTATTAGAAAAATTATAATTTATTTGCACCAAATCTAGTGAAAAATTAAAAACTTGAAAAATTTATTAGAAAATTTATAATTTTATTAATCAAAATCTAGTAAAAAGTTGAAAAATGAGTACATTTACAGGAAAATTTATAATTTCATTGATCCAAAATCTAGTAAAAACTAAAAAACGAACAAATTTACTAGAAAATTTACAATTTTATCTATCCAAATCTATTGAAAAATAAAAAACAAACAAATTTACTAAAAATTTTATTATTTTATAGATCCAAATCTATTGAAAAATAAAAAATGAACAAATTTATTACAAAATTCAAAATTTTATATATCCAAATTTATTAAAAATATAATAAAAAATGAACAAATTACTAGAAAAATTATATTTATCCAAATCTATTAAAAAGTATAATAAAAAATTAACAAATTTACTAGAAAAATTATAATTTTATAGATCTAAATTTAGTAAAAACTAAAAAAACAAACAAGTTTACTAAAAATTTTATTATTTTATAGATCCAAATCTATTGAAAACTAAAAAACGAACAAATTTACTAGAAAAATTATAATTTTATAGCCCTAAATCTAGTGAGAACTGAAAAAAACGAACAAATTTACTAAATTTGATCAAAAAATGCCTAGAACCCTTCTAGGGAATATCTAGTAATTTAACCGACCAATCAGAACCGTTCATCCCGATTGTCCAATTTCGCTCTATTTAATCTTTTCGAACACACCCGTCATCTCATCGCCGACTTGAGGGGCTTAAGGGGGAAGCGCGCGATTGCTTGCCGAGAGCGGCCGGCTTCCTCGGTTGCAGTTTTTGCGCGCGGAACGATCACTTCGTCTCTGTCGGCGCGGTGCGTAGAGCGACCGGAGCGTGTTCGAGGATCTGTCTGTGGCGCAGACCAACGAGATCGCTCCCTGCATCCTCTTTCTAGGATCGCCGCCGATCGCGGAGGCAAATGCGTTCCTTCGAGTAGGTTTGCGACGTAGGTGAACACATATACGAATTCGATCGAAGGGGACGCCGGACATCATCGGTGAGGCTCTCTCTCTCGCCCGCGACTTTTCTACTCCGACTTCCGTCGACAACGCGAAATTGCGTCATCGCTCGGCCAGACGTTCCCGCCGTAACTTTTTTTGTCGCCATTCCGATAATCCTGTATATATATATATATATATACATATATATATATATATGTATATATTTTTTAATTTGTATATATATATATATTTTTTTTGTAAGCTCTTTTTTGCTCCTAAATAATTACACGTGCTCTTAATCGCAAACTTGAATTAAAATTTTTTTATCCAAGAAAAAACTATGATTTAATGCATGTACACGTGTTATTGTATTTTTTTAATTGCCATTTTTGACAATTTTCGTTGCATTTTTAATTAATTTTTCTGTTTTTTTTTTCTAAATTTTAAAAATCAAACAAACGTTACGAATGATATTAGCGATTAGGTAAAGGTTGGGGGGGGGGGGGTGAAGGAGCATTAATTATGAATTTTTTCAATTTTTTTATAAAATATTTTTTTGATTTTTATATATAATGTAAGAATTTGTATAATAGTTTTTATAATTACAAGAATTTGATAATGATGATTTTTATGATTGCATGATTATTTTTATAATTAAATGAGATAAGTCAATATTTAAATAATGCTTCTACAACGTTTGTTGATATTTGCTTGCGATGATTTGTATTGTTGGCTTGATCTCCAACTTTATAAATATGCCTTATCTTTATATACACAAATAATATTTGATAATATAACTGTAATGTATATATATCGATATCAAAGTTATAAATATTAGAAGATATTAAGAGTGTAGGAAAAATATAATAATATAATAAAATAGAAACAGTATAATGTAATAAAAATGTAATCAGTATAATAATACCTAAATTTTATTTTTAGAATGTGCATCACAATCTATCGATAATGTCAAACTCAGAGGAACCAGATACTTGCGTGCTTGACACGCAAGAGATCAACAAAGGGATCGATGAGGATTCCAAGAAGAGAGGTACCAACGAAAGCCAAAACGCAAGCTGGAACGAAAGCCAAGACTTTCGTCTTGTTGTCGAAGGAGATGAGAGCATGACCGATAATGTGAAGCTGGTGGAAGATAAAGACATCAATCTCCAAAAGTCTGATTCACAACAGATCGCAAACACATCGCAGACAGATGATAAAACAATGGCTGCGCAGCCATTAAATGAAGAGATCAGACATATCGGAGATGAAAAGGCAGAGGAAGCAGGAGATGTCACCAGTGAAATAAAGGATTCGGACAAGAAAGATGAGCTTTCCGACGAGGACGAGATCATCCAAGCTACACCACCGCAGAATCACTCGCCCTCTAGGAAAGGAATTGACATTGCGACAAGTTTGAAGCGCAAAGCTGGCTCCTTCGACGAACCACCAGCTAAAATTGCCAGAACAATATCCGTAGATAATGTAGAAAATCCTGAAAAGCAACCAGAGGAGGAAGAAAGTCATCAGTCTGGCGGTTCTGACGACTCGTATCAAGATTTGTTCAAGAACATGGACAAACATGAGATAATAGAAGAGACTCAGGATCCTAGCAACCAGGAGTTCGCTCAAAACTCTTTGGCCAGTTCTCAGGAACGCGCGACGATCGATAATGACAAGACAGAGAAACCTCGTCACTCGGAACAGGCAGCGGATCAGTCAGAAGAAGTTTTCTCCGAGAAATGTTGTAATGCGGGGAAGGACGAGAATCTAAACGTTTCCAGCAAACTAACCGATGTCAGCGCAAACGACAGCATTCTCGTCAACGCGAATTCCATCAACGAGAGCGACTTGCAGGTGAAAGACCACGACTTGTCGACGGAAGCGAAGAGGGACGCTGATTCGACCTTGGTTACCCTAGACGAGAAATCCGCGACTGAAACTTTAGAGGAGAGATCTGGGAAAGTAGAGGATATGGAAGCATCTTTTGATGAGAGCAACAAGATTGAGCAGACGAATTGCACGGGGAAAACCGTTGAGAAGGATGAGAATAAGGAGATCTCGTCTTCCCAGACCAAATTGCGAAGCAGTGTGGAACTGATATACGAAGGCGCAAGTCAGGCTAGTGCAGGGGATGACAAGAAGCTGGAGGTGGTGCAGATCGACGAGGACGAGAAGACCGTCGACACGTCGGCCGAGGTGATCTACGACGGCAAGAGCAGCAAACAGGAGCCGGAAGTCGTTGAGATCGTCGACGAGTCGCGCGAGGAGAACGACAAGACTCGTCCGGGGTTCTTCCAGGATTCAGGGGAGGGCTCCGAGGTGCAGACCCTGGGAAAGAGCAGCTTCGAGAATAAGAGTGACAGCGATTTCAGCTACAAGGAGAGTATGAAGGAGTCGTCCTTGGATTCGAGACCACTAACGGATAGCAGAATGGTGAACGGTAGCCTGGAATCCAAGAAGAACGACAACCCTGACCAAACCCTGAGCGTGGAATCGGACACCTTCTCCTGCGACGCAATTTTTACGAAAGCTGACAGTAAAGTAGATAGTGTGAAGAAACTGGACAACATCAAGAGCGGTGCCTTCGTATTCAGGGATCCGGATAACATCGAGATCATCAATCTAAGCGATAATGACACGTCTAATGCGGAGGAGAAGAGCAAGTCTGAACCGGTACACAACAGTGCTCCGGTTAAGACTATCCAGGTAGATGGTGCAATAGGTTGATGAAACTGTTTGACAAAAAGAATTATGAGACTAGTCGTTTTTTGGATGCTGAAGACGAATCTGGTTTCCAAATTATTCTATTACATCACTATTTTGAGAAATATTTAATTAAAGTTGCAAAAAAGGACTTTTTTCACTAACTTTGTCATATATTATAGCTACAATATATGACGTGCTAGAGAAGTTTTATTGAAACCAAAATGAAGTATATTATTGTTAGGACTTTCAACCCTCAAAAGGAATTTTTGATGTCCTGCGAATTTTGAAATTTTGATGAAGGAAGTTAGTTGTGACTTGGATCATTGAAGATTTACCAAATAAATTTTAAATATGTTGAGTTAATCTTAAAGGTTTTTCAGGTCAGTGAATACAAATTCAGTGTCAAAATTGTCAAATTCAAAATGGTGGACTTGATATTGCGGATTTATATAAAAAAAAAAAACATTTTAAAAATTTCGACATCCACCATTTTGAATTTGACAATTTTGACATTGAATTTATATTCAATGGCCTAAAAAATCCTTCAAAGCTATTTAGTAAACCGTTAATGACCTAATTGTAAATTACAGTTAACGTCTGCAACACAACTCATATTAACCATAAGCGTTACTAAAAATTATAGTTATAAGTCACATATTATAGTTATAATATGACAAAGTTTATGAAAATAGCTCTTTTTTGCAACTTTAATTAAATATTTCTCAAAATTGTGACGTGATGGAGCAATTTGGAAACCGGATTCGTCTTCAGCATTCAAAAAACTATAAGAAACGACTAGTCTCGTTCTGATTAATTTTTTTGTTGAAATAATAAGTGATAATAATAATAATAATAATTATTATTATTATTATTATTATTATTATTATCGTATAAAAATATATAAATTGATTATAGACCTAGAAGAGCTGTAGAGAGTTTATCATATTTAAAAAAAAATTTTGCATAAATTATACAAATTTATAAAAAAAATTATTCCAGATGGAGCGGGAAATCGGTCTCTATGTCAGACTGAAGTGCACGATTCACGTGGACGAGAGCACGAAGGAGTGCGTGAGCAAGGAGCTGACGGCGGTGCATTGCGAGCCCGCGGTAATCGACCCCAGCCTGGGTAGGCAGAAGAACGAAGACAGTCAATCTACTCTGTTGGCGGACATCTCCGACAACAAGGACTCGCCGCCCGGTTCCGTCAACAGCAACCCTCAGCTGTACCAGCTGAACCCCCGACTGTCCATCATGTCTTCCATCAGCTCGTCGAGCTCCGCCTTGTCCAGCGCCGCCGCCCTGAACGCGAAGATCCAGAAGAGCCAGGTTTGGTCGCTGGCGAGGCGAGACGTCAAGAAGTCCTTCCAGGACTCGCTGCCGACGCACGAGACGCCGATGACCTACGACCGCGTGACCCGCGAGTGGAAGAATCACCAACTGCTGACCTCGACGGTGCTGAGTGTCGCCAACACGGAGCTCTTTACCGCGAACATCAGCGGCAACGTCGATCTGATGGATCCTCGGAACCATCTTCAGCATCTTAGGAGCAACTTCGTCCGTTCGTCGACGCCGGAGGAGGCTGCGGAGGCCAAAATCGAGCTCACCACAACCCCGAAGAGCACGAAGAAAGGGAAAGCTGTGAAGAGACCCAGGAGCAAAATGGCCAGGTCGAACCAGACCGGCAACAACGTGGCAATCGCGAACGCCGAGCAGACTCCGCAAGCCTCCGCTTCCGTCGCGGAGGCCGGAGACACCCCGTCCAACAGGAAGAAGAGCAGACTGGAAAGTACGGAGAGCAAGGACGTCCTGGCGAATTCGTCGTCGTCACCGTCGAATGATCCGGCTGACGAACTGATCGGCAAGAGCGTCTTCGCCAAGTGGTCGGACAACAATTACTATCCCGGTAGGGTGAGCGATCGGCTCAAGACCAAGTACAAGGTGAACTTCTACGACGGCAAGAGCAAGACCCTGATACCGGATTTCGTGATACCGATACCAAAGATTCTTAGGAACGGTCTGTCCGTGTACGCGACCACGAACGATTACGGCTGCTGCGGCATCATCGTCGACTCCACGAAGTCATCGTCGACGATGAGCAACGGAGACCAGGACGATATCAGTAGCGACACCTACTACACGGTGGAGACCGACGACGGTGAGCGATTGCGCGTGCAAATGCAGGACATCTTCCTCTTGCCCGGCCAGGCTCAGGTGCTCAAGGAGGAGGTGGACTCCAAGAGCTCGTTGCCGAGCACCCCGAAGGTGCTCGGCCAGGTGACCCTGGACAACATGGTGGACGGTAAGCGACGCTCCAAGCGAATCGGTACCCCGGGTTTCTCTACGCCAAAGTCCAAGGGCAGCGGGACCAGCGGCTCGACCAGCAAAACGACCAGCGTCTCGGAGCCTTCGGTGTCCGGCGTGTCTGTCCGGTCCAAGGACAAGGCGATCTCGGAGAACGAGGGCCTGTCGAGCGGCGAGTCGAACGTCGAGTCGGCTGACGACGAACTCGCTCTGAGAGGGGTGCAGAGGGAGATCACCGGGACGTATCAGAAGGGCCCGCAGAGTAGGATCAAGGGCAGGAAGAATAGGAAGAACGCGGAGGATCCGGAGACCGTCGCCAAACTCGGCCCGATCCCGCCCGCCAACTCCAACATCTTCAAGGGCATGTCGTTCATCCTCACCTGCCTGGCCTTGAAAGACTTAGACAGGTAAGGACCCTTGGATAGGGTGTTTTTTTCCCCGCTTCTGCTCTCGTTCATTTGGCAACTTGGCGATTTTAAAAATCCTAGGAAGTGTCTCAGAAAATATTGGTTTAATAAACAAATGTTTCAGACAAAAAGAATAGAGCTTAATGATGGATGATATCTGTTTGACCTTGAGATGATCTTGACAAGCCCGGTCAAGGTCAACATGAAAATATTGATTTAATAAAAAAATGTTTCAGACAAAAAGAATAGAGCTTAATGATGGATGATGTCTGTTTGACCTTGGGATGACCTTGACAAGCCCGGTCAAGGTCAACATAAAAATCTTAATAGAAACCTCTATTTTTTTAATATATTTTTGGAGTTGATGTCGAGAGCTTAAAAAAAATATATATTTTTTGATATCTGTTCGCTCTTGAAAATCCCGGTCAAGATCAACATGAAAATTTTAAATAGAAACCCCTATTTTTTTTCTTATATATTCTTGGATCTGAAATTTATAGTATTGTTGGTGGTAAAAAAACACGTTTATTGTTTTATTTATTTTCTTCTGCACGGTATTTTATTAAATTATCCTACGCTCTTTTAGGAATCAAGATGTAGTGCAGGCTACATCTGGCGTGGAGACAGAAGCCACCGACACGGATACCGAGAACGAGGAGGATTGGAACGTGACATTCGACCGCGATAGATTGCATAAGCAGATCCTGGCTGGTGGCGGCAAGATCTACGAAGAATTCGAGCAGATACCACCGGAGGAGTACAAAAGTACAAAGCTCATCACGAATGTGCCGAACAGGACGACGAAAAGCATACTGTGCTTGTCGGTCAATATCCCCGCGTGCAATCATAAATGGATCATCAGATGCTGTTCAGAGGTAAGTATTTTGAATTTATGCATTTTATATCTCTGTTACATACGTATCTTTCGCATTTTTTGTGTTTCGTCATTATTTTTCTTACTATGAATGTTTTCCAGCAACTTAGCTTTGAGGTTTCTGGGTCCTCACCGCAATGTCAGATTGTGATGTCAGAGGCGAGAAAGCTGTTGATTGATTATAAAGCAAAAAGGATAGTTCTCGAGGCATTTTAAAAATGTGCTAAAGCCATCTGAAGATCTTTTTATTTTGACATAACATTTAGGAATTTTTAGCTTGTGTTTTCTCGCTTCTGACGTCACAATTCCAATCTGGCGAGGAGCCAGGAGCTCAAAAAAAATTTTTTTAATTTTGAAATGAATGTTTTCCAGCAACTTAACTTTGAGGTTTTTGGGTCCTCACCGCAATGTCAGATTGTGACGTCAGAGGCGAGAAAGCTGTTAATTGATTATAAAGCAAAAAGGATAGTTCTCGAGGCATTTTAAGAGTGTGCAAAAGCCATCTGAAGTGCTTTTTATTTCGACATGACATTTAGGAATTTTTAGCTTGTGTTTTCTCGCTTCTGACGTCACAATTCCAATGTGTCGAGGAGCCAGGAGTTCGAAAAAAATTTTTTTAATTTTGAAATGAATGTTTTTGAACAACTTCACTTTGAGATTTCTGAGTCCTCACCGCAATGTCAGATTGTGACGTCAGAGGCGAGAATTTTTAGCTTGTGTTTTCTCGCTTCTGACGTCACAATCTGGAGCCAGGCGAGGAGCCAGGAGCTCGAAAAAAATTTTTTTAATTTTGAAAAAATTGTAGAATGATAAAAAGTGAAAAAACTAAGAAGCCAACTACAAGTTGATACAATATATGATTATGCATCTTACAATTTTGTTACATTTATCATAATTATATTTTTATTATCATGTTCGCATTATTATCTACTACGATGACAATAATTGGTATTTTTAGGGAAAAATCGTAAGCGCAGCGGAGAACGCGCTTCCGACCGGTTGGAGTTTTCAGAAGAACGCCTATGTGGAAACGTTCCAAACAAGTAAGAGTAAGCCGCTGTCGGAGATGATCGTGATAATTCCCAATTTGATATACGACAGGCTGTTTGTCATACTTTGGGAGAAAGTTTGCGAGAACGCGGGCGCGGTGGTCTTAATCGCCGAGAATTTAGGTATTTATTTCTTTTTTTACAATATCGCATTCTCTCCTCACTGCAGACGCTAGCTTCTTTCGCAAATCAGATTCATACTTGAACAAATATTAATATATATGTACAGGGTGTCCCAAAATTGAGAAATTGCTGAAAACAATCAGCTGTTATTTTTTTAATGCATGCAATTACTGAGAAAACAAAAATTGTGTTAGAAAGAGGAAAGTCTGCAGTTTCTAATGAACATAAATAAAATGTTTGTATACTAGTTTATTTTATTGGAAAAAGGTTGAAGTATTCATCATTTAAATTTGTACAAAATTCTGTTCTTTTACGAACACTCAAACTTTTTCTAACATGTCATTTGTAATGTTATTGACGATCCTTTTAATAGCTGCTATTAAATCTGGCACGGTTGAAAATATTTATCATTAGTTTATGTGATTTTATGTGATTATTAGCACTTTTTCCATTACTTTTTATCAATAAAATAAACTGGTATACAAACATTTTATTTATATCCATTAAAAACTGCATACTTTCCTCTTTCCAACACAATTTTTGTTTTAATAAATACATGCATTAAAAAATGACAAATGATTAGTTTCATCAATGTCCTATGGGATACCCTGTGTATAAAATTTTTAGAAAAATTAACATACAATTATAAAAATTAACGAAGTAAAGTAAAGAGTAAATAACAGCCAGCCACAGAAAGTGTAAACAATTATGTTCAGAAAAAGAAATTCAATAATTCATATTTGGATCCTTTTTTAGACTGTTGCGCAACAGTCAAATTAATAAAAGAAATTCTATCGTACAAGAAGTAAAACGTCAAGTTATATAGTTACATATGAAAGAATACATATACAATATGTAAATTAAAAGAATATATGTTCCAATATCCAGGGAAACTCTCAACAATTTCAACATTAAATGTAACATGTCTCTTCTATCAAGTCCAGTCATTAGAAAAGATAAAAAAGCAATTATTCGTCAATGCTCAAACATTGCGACAAAATATAATTTTATCATTTGCTTTTTCATATAATTTCTTTCGTTAATTTGACAGTTGATAAAAATTATCTGAAAAAGGACCAAGATATACCTATAGATCATTATTGTTTGTGCCTTGTTCTGGCTCTTATTTTTTACTACTTTATTCAATTTTTGTATTATTTTATTACATAAATCATTATATAAATCATTATATAAATAATGAATATATATATATATATATATATATATATATATATATATAAATTATTATTGATATATATTATAAATATTATTATATATATATTATATATACATTATATATATATATATATATATATATATATATTATATATATATATTTCTTTTTCTAAAATTATTTTAACCGATAACAATACTTGTGCAAGAACTTATGAGATTGCATTAATTTTTAGGAAGCATGGAAGCTATGGATTTCGACAATAATGATGTAGTAGTCGTGTCCAATCGAAAATGCCCATCGTGGGCTGTGGACAGAGCAAATCACTTGAGAATTCCGATACTGTCCACGATGTGGGTGACTCAGTGCTTAATCGAGGGTAAACGTTGTCCACACGATCAGCATCCGCGTTACAGATACAATTACATGCCAAATTAAGAGAGCCGATTATTATTAGTTTATTATTTGTACCCTATGTTGTCTAGGATCAATGTCATTTTGTATAGAATTGTATGTATTTTATTTCCTCTTTCGCAATTTTTAATTTTTTTTCTTCATTATCTCGTACGAAACTGCAAAACGACTCTATCCTGTTGCGAATTACGAGATTTTTCAATTTTATTTTTTTTTACGTGCATCTCTATTATTGTTTTTAATTCAATAATATAATATATATTACACGAAATTATTGTTATTTTTATTATACTTTTCTGGAGAAATCACTGACACAACGATCTATATTCTTTCTGTTTTTACCACTATGTACATTTATGATGTAATATTGATAATGGCCCACATTTGATATGACGATTTAGACTTTTGTAAAATGTATAAAAGTGAATGCGCAAAGTCGTAATTTAGTTTTATATATGATAAGATATAACTTTTACATAAGTATAACAAAAAAATCGTATCTTTTTACGACGACTATCAATGATCGTGCTATCAAATGGCAAAAAATCATTAATTTTTTTTACATTTATATATAAATTGTATATATACATATTTATGTTTATTAATTATATATATATACATGTTTATGTTATAATGTGTATATATATCAATTTATGTGTCAATATATATATGTATATTTGCATATATATAAAATATAGAAAAAATGTACACAACATAGTCCATCGTTTTGGAAGTATGCAAAATCGCTGTGTGATTGTGCTTATACTTTGTAAGAATAGGAAGATGCGAGATTTGATTTTTTTCGTCAGAGAACGTGACAGTTTCATATCAGTAAAACACAACAATTATTCCCCTTTCTATTGATTTATTTTTACAAATATAGACGTCTATTTTGTACGAGATAAATTGTCTGTCGTCGAATCTAATCAATTTAATTATTTTTTACGAATAATGTACCTTGGGAGACGTACATACACACTAATCGCCGACAATTGTCAGGAACGACTCTTCCATATGTTTCCTAGCAATTGTCATAATCAACAAATGCAAAAAAAAAGTGTTGACTGACCAAGCAATGCGGAATGTGTATGTATGTCTCTGTGCGTGCATATATGATAAAATAAGATAAGTAAATTACGCGCATGTACATAAGTAAATATATATAAATATATATACTACACAAATTTTATTACCCATAAGTTAACTATAGCTTATGTACAATGATGTCTGAGATAAAATATAGCAACACATATTTTGGGAGACTATTTTCTTTTTTTTCCTTCCACACAATACACTTGTTTGTCCTTTTTTACACTTATAAAAAATATAAGTACTGCAAATTGGTACTTTATATAAGCAATCCTTTCTGCTCATTTCTTATGGATTATACCAGTCGAGGAATAACAGAAAGAACGACGTCACCAGAAGAAAGAAGAGGATCCACACTCTGAAACCAGCGTTGCGTTGAATCGCTTGTCGAATCTGTTCATTGGCTTCCTTCACATTCTCCATGAATCCCACCACAGTGGTCATCAGCCTGTCCAGGTCCTTATCCTGATCCAGTACTTTCTCTGTAAAGATCTACTGAAGCTCAGCGATATGCACCACCTTGCTCTCAATCTGCTTGATCTCCTCCGTCAAGTTATTCAGCTCGTTGTACAACAAATTGGTACAATGCATAAAATTTAATATAATCCACCGAATAAAAATAATAATTATCAGTAAATCAGATTATTTCCATTGCACAGATTATTTCAAGTGTTTTTTATATAAACAATGGTCCTTTCTGCTCATTTCTTATGGATTATACCAGTCGAGGAATAACAGAGAGAACGACATCACCAGAAGAAAGAAGAGGATCCACACTCTGAGACCAGCGTTGCGTTGAATCGCTTGTCGAATCTGTTCATTGGCCTCCTTCACATTCTCCGTGGATCCCACCACAGTGGTCATCAGTCTGTCCAGGTCCTTATCCTGATCCAGCACCTTCTCCGTAAAGATCTCCTGAAGCTCAGCGATGTGCACCACCTTGCTCTCAATCTGCTTGACCTCCTCCGTCAAGTTATTCAATTCGTTGTACAACTGCTCGTTCTCGGACTCGAACATCTGCACGTCCTCGGCCGAGGGTTCCTCCTCGTAGGTCAACGTGGAGGACGTGACGTCCTCGTTGATCTCTTGTATCCTCATCGGACTGGACTCGTTGGAGTGATTCTTGGTCTCGCGTTCGTCCAGCGCTCTCCTGGTCTCCAGTCGACGACGATCCGGCCTGGGCTCGGCCTGCAGTCTGGAGATCCTCTGCATCTCCAGAGTCCTCTTCACCCGCATCGCCTTCTGCTCCGAGTAGATGTGACAGACGTTTTTCAGATAATCCTCGATCAGCAGCAGCATGATCTCGCGGTGCTCGACGTTCTGCCGGGTCAGGTCGTCCCCGTGGACGAGGCGACCTCCCGCCTGAGGTCCTTCACCAGCTGCGAGCAGGTGCTCATGATCCGCTGCCCGCCCACGTCGATCTCGTCGCGCTCCGCGTCCGTCATCCGCTGCGAGGATGACAGGTAGCTGGAGAAGTTCAGGTAGGCCTTGCGATTCTCCAACAGAAACTCGCGCAGCTTCGAGATTTGCGCGACCACCGTCTGGGCCTTCGTGCAGAAGGCGCTCCTCGAGGAGGCGGTCCTCCTCGACGACGACGTCGACGTCGCCGTGCCCAGCTCCCGGTTGCGGGAGTCCACCAGCTTCACGCTGGCCTTGAACAACGCGCTCACGTCCATGATGATGATGATGTTCCCACGTGACCTTGGATCTCTGAAGGAGCTACTGATCGTCTCTTCAGTATCGTTAATTCATTCTGCGAATATTGAAATATGTAAATACACTGGTTTATCTGACATGTGGAAGCCCAAGTAGCAAGCATACGTCATTTTGACGTTCAATGACGTCAGTTTGCCGCTTGGAAGATAGATAAAAGAAGATGTATTTATTTTTATATATATTTTTTTGAGATTAAAAATTCAAATGCAAAAAAAAAAAAAAAAAACACTTGCTTCTTAGCGTCCTATTTATTTATATTTTCATAAAAATTTTCAAATTATCAAATAATTGTAATTATTCATTATAAAGTAAATTCCATAATAAGGTAAATTAATAAAAACGCAAGCTGCTAAAATTCTCAATATTTGTGTAAACATCAGTTGCTACATGTTTTAGAGGTTACATTAGGTTAGATTGTCACATTATTTGACGTGTCACAGTTTAATACTTGCCTTGCATTTGTTATTAAATTTCTTCAATTTTGTTTGGGTATACCAGAACAGAACATTCTTTCTTTTATAATTAATTTTCGCATAATGTGTTTCTTCAATAATATCAATCGCTTATCAGTATATACATACATACATATATATATATATATATATATATATCGAGTGTCCCACGTGACGTGACACGTGACGTCACAATATATTTACCTGAAGGAGGGAAGGTAAAAATATTTTGAAAAAAAATTAAATACGCGCACGAGTGTATCGATACTATCGATAATCGTCGACTATCGATTGTATCGATACTATCGATAATCGTCGACTATCGATTGTATCGATACTATCGATAATCGTCGACTATCGATTGTATCGATACTATCGATAGTCGTCGCGCGCGACTGTGCTATCGATAGTGACGTCATCGTGCGCGCTTGCAATGGCGAAATTTCTTCTGCGGAGCGCGTCGCACGTCTTCGAGAAAGAGAGAGAGAGAGAGTGTATGTCTTCGAGTTTAATCGAAAATGTACATTAAATGCGTGATTGTAATGTTGTAAATAAGTGTTGTACGGTGACAATATAGTGTATAATTATCGTCATGTAAAAATCTGTGTTTGGAACTATATATATATATATATATATGGTATAAAAAAAATCGCCGGATGTGCAAGAAAAGAATCATCCTTACTAAATCGGATAGGATCTCATGGTAAGTTATTTCTCAATATATTGCTATAAAATTACACGTTAATTGATTTCATCATATATATTTTTTCGGCTACTGATGATTTTCGTGACATATGTATATCAATAATTTTTTTCTGGAAAATATTTTTTTTTCCTTAATGACGGAATATAATGTGTGTAAATATATACATGTATACGATATATACTGGGTGTTCATAAAGTCAGTCCTTGTATTTTGGAAACGATTGAAAATTATAAAAAATTCAATAAGGTGCGAAAGTGTTTGTCGCTTTTCTAAATTCTTTTTATATATAAAATATTTAGATTTAATCTTAAAAGTTTTTTTTATTCAAAAAAATCCAAGCAAGACGAATTTAATAAGTTGCTTGCATTTCTTTTTGAAATTGAAAAAAAAACGTTAATGTCAAATTTGAATTTTTTATGGAAAGGATTTAAATGGTCTAATTAAAAAATAAGGGTATGAAACACCTTATCACATATATATTTCTTAAACCATGAATCAATATTCAGGATTTAAAAAATATATATAATGATAAATATATATCAGAATCATTAAATATTTAAAGTTTGAAGTGTATAATTAATAAGGTAATTATATATACATTTTATTTCTATATAATAAATCTGTTGCACATTTAATATTAAATCTTTTCTATTATTATACTCTTGACATTTTTATATGTATATTACAATTTCACATACATTATATTAAATGCTAAAAATTTCACTTATCTATAACACAATATAACAGCGATATAATTATTTATTCTTATCAGTTAGATAAAGTAGTTTTTAGAAAATATAAACAACTATTATTTTATGGAAACGCGACATATTATATAAAATATTTTACATACAAATATATTAAGAAATTAGAAACTTAAAATTAATATAGGAATATCGTAGTATTTTTATATTGTGTCTTTCAATATTATATCTTAGTAAGCAAAAAATCATTGCTACACAACGTTATTATAATGATTTTCACTAACATAATAATGTTGTCAAGTATGTAGTTTTTAACATTGTATGCAATATGCAACATCATTATGAACAAACTTTGACATCGATTTAGAGGTTTTGGTAATATTAAAATAACGTTTTTAAAATATTTTATTAATTTTGAAAGCAATATGTTATTAAATAATATTTTTAAAACATTTATAAAACATAAGTTAAAATATGTTTTAAGTATTATTTATGAGTACGTTTATTAAAATATTTTAAACATCTATATATAGGTATAAGTACCGTCTGTCTGTCTGTATGTATGTATGTATGTACGCGAACAACTTCCGCATTTGTGGACCGATTTTTGTGAAACTGGTACCAAAATGTTGCAAACTTTTCGGGGGTGGCTGCTGTGGGTTTTTTTTAATTTTTTAATTTTAATTTTTTTTTCTCAGAGGAGGGTCATTAGAGTATAATAAAAGGGAAGCATGTAGCAATTTAATAAAAATAGCTTTAATTTATATATTAAATGATCAGGCTATGTAATTTTCCTAGTCTGATAATTATTTATTTATTTGGAAATGACGAAGGAAATTCGAACAAATACAAAGAAATAGCATGTTTAGGGGGTAGCTAGAGAAAATGTCGGAAATAGGATTCTTTGGTGAGCAATAGCAAGTGCTGATAGAACGGACAGCGTAATCAGTCTTCCATTATGCTCATGTGAACGAACCTTTATTATCTAAGATTTTGCTATAAAAGGTGCAAAATTCTTCGATTGCTACTACTTCCAATATTTCCATGCCGATCCCGAAAGAAAAGTGATCTCGAAGACCATCCTTACAAATCAACCGCTTTGTTCGATGGACGACTTATCAGTGACAATGGACACGGTAACAAAAAACTATTTTTTTCCCTTCGATCTCTCTCGAAGGCCCGAAACAAAAAGCGCTCTGTAACAAATTACATCATTTGTCCCTACGCGATTCATCAAAGAGAAAAAGCGAAAAATTATTCAATCTCTTATATCATAACGTTTAGAAAATTTATATAAAATCAACATTTTTAAATATTGATTAAGTATTTCTTGCTTACTGGAATGTTATGAGCAAAACTTATTTTTATAAACGACTATAATATGATGCATGAACCACCATATCTCGGGTAACATCTTTTAGAGATGCGCATCCTGAAAAAAACATTGGCAAAAGAATTTTACTAAATTAAAAAATAAAACAAAAAATCACCAGGGTTGGGTAAGTTAATGATTTTTAATTATTTTTTTAAATCAAGTTAAGTTAAAGTTATATAATTGCTTATAAAATTAATTTAGTTAAGTTAAAAGTTGCACGAACAAAATTAACTCAGTTAAAGTTAAGTTAAGATTAAATTAATTGAAGTTAAATCAAAAGTTAATTTTTAAAAACATTATTTATATTAAATTAGAATTTTGTTCGTTAATTCTTTTAAAATTTATAATATTTTTATATTTTTGGTAATTATAAATTATGACAAATAAACTTAAAAATTAATATTACTTTAATTTAAAAATAATATGTTTATAACTTATTATAAAAAAACAATAATGGTATTCAGAGATAGAACAAAATTTACTTAGGAAAAAAGTTAATTTTAAGGTCGAAAATAATTAGTTTAAGTTCAAAATTAATACATTTTAAATTAATTAAGCTAAGTTAAAAGTTATTAATTTCTTTTAACTTTTAACTATAATTAACTAGTTATTACCCAACCCTGAAAATCACAAATTGAGAAATGTTAAATAACAATTATTCGCTTTGACTTACCAGTTAATGCAAATGCAATGTCGATTTCTCTCTGCATAAGTTCAAGAATCTGTCTAGCACCTTTTTCGCCATCGTATGTCAAACCCCACAACATGGGTCGACCAAAGAATACCTGAGAAAATAAAAAAAAAGCATAAAAAATTAATAAATATGAAAGCCAGGTAGAAGAAATTCTTCAAATAAAATAATTTTAAAAAATCACATTTAAGTAAATACAACATAATATTGATTCATAAATTGAACAAGACTGTTCAAATGCTCTTTCACTCAAATTATTGTAATCTGCCATATTCGATAAATTCGTCATTTACCATTTTTGCGCCCAAAGCCAAAGCTTTTAATACGTCGATTCCTTGAATTATTCCACCGTCCATGTAGACTTCGATTTCATCTCCCACAGCTTTGCTTATTTCAGGCAAAGCTTCGATCTGCAAACGTAATTCTTTTAATAACTTCACAGAGATTCGAAAGTTTTCTTCTTAGACTTTACCCTGAAAAAATCATGGCAATCATGGGCTAATATAATATATGGGAAGAATTTTATTAGTTTATTAAATTAAATATATATATATTTACATTACAATAAAAAATATTAATATCTACCGCAATAAGATTTAAAAAATGTTCGAATAATTTTACTATGTATGTATAGTAAAGTTCAAAGTTAAATAATAACTATAGTTAATTAGTTAAAAGTTAAAAAAAGTTAAAGTTAATAACTTTTAACTAAATTTAATTAATTTTTAATGTATTAATTTTTAACTTCAACTATTTATTTTTGATCTTAAACTTATTAACTTTTTTCTTAAGTTAAATTTTTTAATCTCTGAACACCATTATTATTTTCTTATAAGTTATAAACGTATTAATTTTAAATTAAAGTACTATTAATTTTTTTATGTTCATTTGTCATCAGATGTAGTTACCAAAAAATATATTTCTATATAAAAATAAAAAAATTTTCTTTGTTTTTTATTATAAATTTTAAAAAAATTAACAAACAAAAATCTAATTTAATATAAATAATATTTTTAAAAATTAAATTTTGATTTAACTTCAATTATTTAATCTTAACTTAACTTTAATTGAGTTAATTTTTTGTTCATGCAAAAACTTTTAACTTAGCTAGATTAATTTTATAAGCAATTAACTTTAATTTAGCTTTAAAAAATCATTAATGTAACTTAATTACTCAACCCTGATAAAATTTATTATGTACATACATTATTAATATTTTTTATTGTGATAAACATTTTTTAATTAGATAAACTCTTATAAAATTCTTCCAATACCATATATTATCCCAGAATTGCTATAATTTTTATCAGGGTAAATTCTAAGAGAAAATTCTCTCCGCATTGCTTTGTATACTGTACTGTTTTTAATTGTATAATAAATTTCGCTCACAAATATAATTTTTTCAACAAGAATTATGAACCAACCGTTGCTGGAACACCGTCTATTTGACGTGCACCATGATTCGAAACAATAATGCCATCTACTCCACTTTCTACGGCCAAACGTGCATCTTCTACTGTTAGAATTCCTTTAAGAATTATTGGTAGCGATGTAATTCTACAACAAGTCGATTAGAATAATATTTACATCTGCTCGACGCATTAAATATGAAAATGTGTGAAGAGATTTAATATATTAAGATATGATAAAAAATTTTAATTACTAGCTATATAGTGATACCTTTTAAGCCATTTTACATCATCCCAGGACAGGGATGGATCAAATAATGCAGTAACGTATTCATTGAGACCGGAACCGGTTTTGCGTTGTTTATTCGTTGTGATAAATCACCTTCGAAATTTGCAAATCTAAAAAATATATAAATATTATACTTTTGTATATTTATAATAAATTTTATTTAAAACTAAAATAATAAAGTAACTATAGTAAAAAAGTAAAGTGAAATATATAATATAGAGAATAACAATTTCTACTTTAAATATGCAAAGTTATAAATTGATCTTGTTTGGTCTTTCTGGGTAAAAAATATAATTCAACAGTTTCGATGAATAAAAGATTTATATATATATATATATATATATATATATATATATTAATTACTTTATTTGTATTCTTTAGAGTTAATAGTGAAGTTTCTATATAATTTTTATCATTTATACATATCCAGATAGCAAGCGATATCATTTTGACGTTGAATGACGTTATAGACGTCAGAATGACGTCATTTTGACGTTTAATATGACATTTAATAAATAGTTACGTATTTTTGCATTTTTTATGTACTCATTTACATTCAATTATCTCTCTATCTGTAACATTTGGAAATACCTTAAGTGACTCGGTAACGCGAATTTATTTTTTATATCGGCTCGTCTATCACCGAAAAAAGGCGCATCGATAGTAAGAACCAGTGCTTTAAAGTCAGCATGTTCGGCGCGTCTTATTAAATTCAGGGTAACATTTCTATCGTTATAAATGTAGAGCTGGAACCATTTTATACCATCCGGAGCGGCTTCCGCCACTTCCTCTATGCTACTCGTCGATATCGTTGAAAGAATAAAAATCGTTCCTGCTTCCTGTGCGGCTGCAAATTGATAAAATATCTCGCAAGACTTTAATTAATTATTCTAGATAATTATTTAATTTTATTTATTAAATTAATAAATTAAAAATAAACAAAATAAAATAAGGGAAAATCAAAATTGGTATAAAAAAAATATATATTTAAAAAAATGTTTATATAATTTGCAATTAGCAGCTACACATTTTTTTCTGATATTCAACAAGTATATTTAACAAAATATCTATTTAATTACCTCTTGCATTAGCGCATTCTCCATTGGGATGCGCCATACGTTGCATTGCGGTAGGTGCAACTCCCAAGGGCATTGAAACTTTGTGTCCCAATACTGTTGTGCTTATATCCCTTCTGGAGACGTCTCGTAAAAATCTAGGACGTATTCTGTAACTGTAATGATAAAAAGAGTGAATTGAGATTGATTAAAAATTGAATAATCGATTAATAATTAAATTCAATCTTAATATAAGTTGCACTCGGTATATAAAAAATTTTATATTTTCATATATAACAATATAAAATATATATAATTTATATAAATCTTGTACATATAATATAAAATTTATATAATATATATAAAATCCTGTATATATATTTTATGTATAATTATATATATTATATTATATATAGTTTATACGTATATATATATATATATATAAAATTTTATACGTATATATATATATATATATATATAAAAGAGAGAGAGAGAGAGAGAGAGAGAGAGAGAGAGAAGTAAGTAAACATTAATATCAAATTATATATAATTATATAAGTAACATGAAATTATTTATAATATATATACATAGGTTATACAGAATTTTATATATTTTTATATAATTTTATATATTGTTAATATCTGAAAATACATATATAAAAACAATATATATATATATATATATATATATTGTCATATATTCTCTTAATATAAAAGTGTATTTGAAAAATTGTATATATATATATATATGCAATATAAAATATATCTAGATAGATTATATATAATTATTAAATAAATTATATAAATATTATATAAATATATCTAGAAAGAGAGAGATTACATGTATAATTTTTTAAATATATAATTATTTTTTATTTCTCTTGTAAAAAAGTTTTTTTATTCTGTTTTAACTTTATACTTTTTGAAAGCCTCTCTGTTCAATTTGACGCTAAACTCTTCTCCGGCACCGCTTTTGTAATAATCTCTCACAGGAGGAGGCAAATGTTCCAGAGCATATTTCTCGTAATCCTCGACGCATACATAAGCTGCCATTTTATTGAAATAAGATGATATTAATTCAATCAGTTGCAATCTGTAACAAAAGTACAGTTATGATATTAAAATATTACGATATTTTGTCTAGGAAAAAAATGAAACGTTAGAAAAATTTATGAATATGTTTTCGTTTCATAATTTGTATCAGAATAATAATTTTAAAAATATTCTTGAAGAAACACAAATTATATAAAAATTATAAAATAAAAATTTATAATTATAAAAAATATAATTATAATTAAATAAATTCAATCATATTTTATCTTTTTATGAATTTTATTTCTGCAAATTCACACACGACCTTAATGAATGATTTATTACCTCATGTACAACGCATAATCTTCTTCATATTATAATTCTTATCATCGTAGTTTAATATTACAAAGTGTTACAGAAACAAAATTCTAAAATTTTGACAATATTGCAATAACATTGAGAAATATTCAGAAACATAAAAATATAATTGGTTCACATACACAAAGAAAATATTATAGTATTATATTATAATATAAATATTATGTTATATAGTATTCTGTGCACTCATATAAATCGACTCTATCTTCCTATTTTAAGGATAAATATTCAGTTAAATTTCAAATGTTTGATTTTTTATGAAGAAGCTTTTACGGTAATATTCTGATAAGTAAATTGATAAAATTTTGGATAGTAATTTTTGTATTCATAGAACATGAAAATATGAAGAAAAATAATATTTTTATTCAATAATATATACGTATTATATGTATATTTTATAAAAAAGTACTGCAATTATTCAAATATTTTGACATACAAACAAATATAATTTACAATTTTTATATTCTAATTATGTCATATTGTATCTTTATGATAAATGTTGTAAAAGAAAATTTCCATGTAATTTTTACTATAAAATTTTCTCCGTGTATTAATATACATATTTCTGAGATAAAGTATAAAGAAACTTCTAATGTAGTAAATTCAAAATATGTACGCATATATTATACTATATAGATTAGTATATATTCTCTTAGATTTTATAATTCTATTATAATATATTTATATTCTATTATATATTTATAATTATTCGTATATTATATAAATTATATAATATATAATACATATAATATATAATATATTATATAAATTAATTTAATTGTTATGTGTACATTCTCTTATAATTTGTATAAGCGTTTTCAAAATCTGACACAAGAAAAATTATAATTATCAACAGATTGATAATTTATAGCACAACAGTAAATACATAGAATGTTGTGTTGCACGATCAAGATATTTAATTTTGCATATTTATTAATATCATCATTACGTTTAATATCATTTTTGTTAGACTTCACTTCCAGTTTGATTCATAACGCAATATATAGCGATACTAATTATAACTAATATATAAATTATAATATATAATATACACTAATATAACTAATATATATAATTTTGATCGACAGCATCGAATATTCGCAAATAAAAGAATCTCTTTTTTGAATTAATCGTTTAAGTATAAGATAATTCTCGTTGATTTTAAAAATCGAAGAAACTTACTGTTCGGATAATTCGCTGTCTTCATCTGCTCATCACAATCTTTAACAGACGACTGACTGTTTTCGAGTAAACTTTTCCTAGAGATAACACAGTGGCAGCTCAGTCTCAGCCAAGATAAAACTGCACTTACGTAATATCGGTTATTTCTCCATCTGCAAATTTTATGCGCTGTAACATAAATACATCGACTGTCTTCTTTTTTTTGTAAAGGATAAATTGATAATATTTAAACCCTTAATATATTTTGGATAAAAATAATATTCGAAATTAAATAATTTTTCGACAAATCGATAACATTTTTTTCCATCATCATTTTTCATATATTTTATTATCCAAATCTCATTGTTTTTAAAATACAAGAATTGCGATCGAAAATCCGAGAAGTACGTGAAGATAAAATCGCGAGAAAAAGACGTTTTCTTAGTAGCTTTTCATCTGATAACTCGTTATTTTTTTTTCGTAAACACAAAACAGTGGATGATTTGTAACAAAATAAAGAACTTAACAAAAATATTTACAAGGACAAACATATTTAATTATTTTGTGTAATTGACGCGCTTGTACGTAAAGCAAATATACCGAAATTATTAAAATTAAACTGAATATATTTATAACGTTAATCATTTTTAAGACAATGTTATTTCGTAATAAAATTAAATTGGTTTTATCTTATATTTCTCGATTGGCGAAGCATAGTGAATATAAATCTCTTTGATTGCAAAAAGCATAGCGAATTAAAATGATTAATATACATGATTTAATAAGTTTTATTTTATATGAAAAAATTGTACTATATTAATTTATTATGCATTCACGTTTGATTTACTTGAAAAGGGCTGCAATGACAGCCGAAACGTTGTATTTTAACTAATTATTTATAATAAATGATTGCCAGTTTAGTCGAATTTTACCATTGAAAAAAGATTTTTATTAATTATTAATGGCGAACCTTAAGAATTATTATCTGAAAAAATGGTCTTTTATTTACATATAATAAATTGCACAGATTTTATTGTCCAAAGTTTTTTATTACTGTCAAATATTTAATTGTTACATAATCAAACTAATTAAACGTATATTTATCGTATTTCATAAAATCAAATAAGAAATATTTTTATATTTAAGAAAAAACAAAAAATAATAAAACATATATTAAATGATTATTAATAGATGTTATATTTTGATATTATATTTGATGTTATATTGAATAAAGTTTTCGCCAAGTTTGTGTAGTCAAGCACAATGTATAACAAAAATCGCATAGTAACAAAAATATTAATTAACATTAATTCAATTATCGATATGCTATAACTTTGTATTTGCTGATATAAGTAAAATAATTTAAAAATTAATTTACTTATATGCAGACCCAATAATTAATCTGTGTTAATAATGAAGTTATTATAAAAGACTTGTTAAAAAAGGTTAAAATTAGAATATTACAAGCATAAAACTATCAAAAATATCACATCTCATAAATGACACTTTACCTTTTATATATGTATAAAACTTAATATGCTTAAATTTATACTTTATTGCAATTCTAAATAAATTCGTCGGTTAAATTATATACATGCAAAAAGAAACTAATATGAATGTATAACAGTTTATAAAAAATATTATTTAAAAAATTAAATCAAATAGATCCTCGTCAAATAAGCATAAAACATTATCATATTATAATCATTTATAATTGTATAGACATAAGAATTTATAGTGTAAAAGCCATTAATAAACAAATACATATTATATATATATATATTTATTTATATTAATATATATATATATATATATATATATATATATATATATATATATATATATATATATATATACATATATATATTATCGGTTAAATTTAAATATGTTCACTAAAGATTAAAAATTATTTTTCATTCCAAACATATTTCTAAACTCATATATACTTTAAATTCCAATGTCTGATACCTTCTGAGACTTTCTGTCATTTAATTACCCAGATAGCCACAGTAATTATCAATGACATCAAAATGCATCATTTTGATGGCAAATAATGCATTTTGACATCAAAATGATGTCATAATAATTACTGTGGTTATCTGGGTAATTATACAAATTTAAACCAGTTATATATTTAATCACTGCAAAATCTGAAAACTACTTAGCAATCCAGATCCATCTCTTCCCAACAACATGGTTTATACTCGATATAAATTTCATCGCTGTCTTATTTAAAATACAATTAACTATTAATATCCGTTCGATTGTGTTTAATCCAGCATGGAGAACATGGTATTGTTCTAATTTCAGCAAATTCGAAAGCAAGTGTCAATAGTTTCTCCAAGGCGCGAATTTGGCAAGTATACATTTCATCCAAAATCGACTATAAATTTTCGATTGGATTCAAATCTGTAGATTATGGAGATCAATGAAGCAGTTTTATATGATGGCAAGTTAAAAACTCTTCGTTTCTTGACGGTATGCTTATAGGATTATTGTCTTATTGTAGAATAAAATGCACATTTTGTTAGAATAATGTTATAAGTTTTTGTTACAACAAATAATCTCTCAATTCTTTTCACAAATTTTTAGTATAATAGTAACCCTTTAAAGAAAACTCGGTAATAGGATGTTCTTGCATTTAAAATATTAGATTTCAGATATTTTTATATATACGCTTAAGGTAGTCTTTCTTTTGTCAATTTCTGTATATATTACCTGCTAAATTTAAATATGTTTATTATTAAAGAGTAAGAATTATTTTCGATTCCAAAGATATTTTTAAACTCATATATTTAAAGTTCAATATCTGTTATATTCTGAAACTTTTTATGGCCGTTTAATTGATGATACAAATTTAAAACAAAACAATATTTGTTCGCTGCAAAATTTAAGAAATATTTAACAATCTAATCCTCTTCTTTCAAACAATAAAAAGGCTCGAACTCGTCGTAAATGTCATTGCTATGTCTCATTTCGAATTTAATCAACCAATTAACATCCGCCCGATTATATTTACTCCATTTTAAAGGACATCGTATTTTTTTACGTCGAGCAAATTCGTAAGCAAGCGTCGATAGTTTCTCCAAGGCGCAAATTTGGCAATGACAAATTATCTGTAAGTCTTCCAGTTTTTCAACTCATCCCAAAGCGATTTCTCTTGCAAATATGTAAAAATTACATTACAAGAATTCACCACTCTGTCATATGTGGACCTTTTTAGCTTTTGTGCATTGCTTTTTCTTATTTCTGTGTAAAGCGTACGGAGTGAAATTTTATATTTTCTCGCAATACTTGCTATTGAGTCTCCCGTTTCTGCGAAGTATTCTTTCACTGCAGACTCGATTAGGGGTTTGTTTTTATAAAATTCTGCTTTACGTTTCTTAATGTTTACTTTTTTAAATAAAATAGAAAATTCGATGTCATAATATTTTGCTACACATGAAGTGACAGTTATATCATCTTTTATAATTTCGTCTGCAACTTCCTCGAGCTTTCTACTTAAATCGAGGTGTGCAGCAATTTTTTTTCTCATTTTATTTCTGTGATGATCCGTTTTTATAGTTTGCAACATTTTCGTAATTAGACTGACCTACGAAAAAAAGCCAAAAAGGCAGAGAAGTTAATACGTGTTGCACTATTGTGTATTTAAAAATTGTATTATCGTAAGATTGCAAAATTATATTCGCAATATTCTTAATACTGTGTTTTAATTTATGGTTTGATTATACGTATTAATAAATAAATATTCAAAAATGGTGTGACATTTTTCTCATAAATATAATAGATAAGATGCAAAGTATTTTGCATTATTAAAATGCTCTAATCAGAAATTTATTACAAAATAATAAAAAAGAAATTAAAATGAGAATGTACTTACTAGATAAATCGAAAATAAACTCAAATATGCTTAAATAAACTTTTTCTGACGGCGAGAGAAATTGAGAATTGTAACTATGTTTCACTCTGGTTATTAATAACGACGACTAAAGCACAATGTGAGATATTGACTAATTTCGAGTTCCAATATTACACTCTATTCGGAATACAAATAAATTTATCTCGAAAAGTATATGTTGCTGTGTGGTAAACAATTTTTTCTTTATTTTTAAAAAATGTATGTCGTATTTATTCGTATATTTAGCTTTGAATCGGTGCTCAATTTCTATACAACAATATTGTAATTATAATTTAAATTAGATACAGTAAAAGGTTTTACATCTTTGCTGAAAATGTAGTACCATTAATTATTCGATTTATAATATTTTATAAAAAATGCGTTTATATGGAATATAATATATTTAAATTTGAATAAAATACATATATATATATATATATATATATATATATATATGTGTGTGTGTGTGTATATTACATATATCTAAAGATGCCGCTTTTCGTCTTTAATGCAATAATGTTAATTACACAAATCACTTTTGTTTAAAAAGTTTTCAAACCAACCTGGTTGAGAAAATGTGATTACAACCTTTATAAAGCGTACCGTAAACGTATCATAAAACCTTATAAAACATATTATATATATTATATATTTTTTCGTAAATATTTACTTGAAATAAAAATAATTGTTTTATTCAGTGGATTGTTTCAACTTTTATATATATGCTGCAATGTTCTAAAGTTTATAAACATTATAAAATATTTGTTTGTTGTAAGTATGAGAAATTATACTTGCGATTAGTTTCATTGATTTAGTACAATTGACAGAAAATATAATACATTAGGAACACAGAATTTAATGTTACATGCCTCGATTCTTCCAAGAACATTTGATAAATTATATAAATTAAAAAAAAAAAAAAAATATATATATATATAGTTTTGCAATGCTTTATTAATAATCTTATGAATTCAACTACATAGTTACATACAAATTTGAAAAACAAAGAGATGTAAAGTTTAATATAATATGAATAAAGAGAGTGAAATAATGATTTTATTTGAAGAATTTCAACACAGTTAAAATATATCATTATTTATTATACATAATTTTTACTCAAGACAAATTTTTTGCTTATAAGAAATAGATACATATGCTCCATTTTTTAATTAGGATATGAAGAAAAAGAAGCACATGTATTTTTCA